GACCGAGTTGAAAAAAATTTGGAAAAAATCTGGTGACACTGTTACGAGAAAGCAGAGGACAATGGTTACATAAAAAATGGTTAATTTCTATAATCATTTCGTTAAAAATGATTTGCATGATAGTGACGGAAGGAACATTGCTGCTTCTTGATTTACCCCGAAGAAACTCGAGCGAAATCCCGGTCAAAGAAGCTAAATTGAAACGTAAAAGGGGACTAGGAAATAATCAAGGACTCTTCCATGGGTTTCTTCTTCTGCAAACAGGGCATAAAACCCTGCCGGTCATAAATCCGCGACCTACGGCCGTCGAGTCACTCGCTGGCTCGCTTCACCTTCTTGCATTACCTTTGCCTTACGTGCAAAACTAATTTCCTTCACTAATAGACCGGGCTTCTGCCTACGTTTCTACGTCCCCCGTTCGTGGACGTTCGCGAGGACACGAAGGAGATTCTTCCTCTCTTTCTCCCATCGAATTAGCGTTCTTTTGACCTGGATGAGCATTGAGTTTTACATGGATTCCTAATGTTAAAGAAGAAAGAAGGTGAATATCAAGAAAGTTTCTATTTCAACGACAACGAGCCAGCGACAGGATCGTTCCGAGCGAATTGCTCGTCGAGCTCGTAAACTATGACGCCGGTTTAATTACACAGTGTCCTGGTCACCGTTGAACACGTTTCTGTCGCAACGCGAGCCAATAAAGCCCGGGGAAATCTTTGTTAAAAGATCGCCGCGAACCAGATAAATCTCAATACAAAGTCAATTATAGCTGGCAGCTATGGTCGCGAAGGTGGGCGTGAATAGGTCGAACGAAGCGTTTGCATCACGTGTAGCGGTGCAACTTCTCGATGATTTACAAATTCTGGGTAAGCCAGGTTGAGAAACCTCCTCGTTGACTGACAGCTCCATCGAGCCATAGAATGACGTTGTTTTTCCACTCCTATCACATAAACGTAGTTTATTAAAATTGGACCTCGCTCCATTGACGATTAAGCGAGAATTACGAGGCTCTCGCAGCCGGTTTTCTTCTTTTTTCTTTCCTCGCCACGAAACAAACAGTTATTATCTTTTAAAACTACATTTTGAAGCCTGCTTTAACCCTTCAACAGCGGTGATTTTTCACTGATATTACATTGAAACTAGGGCTCTCTTTGACTCCGCTTTCTACTCGTTCAAATAACTAAAATCGTGGCAATTATTAATTTAACACTTTCAGCAACAAAGTACAAAGGCATCGCTTTGCGTGTCAATGCTAAATACTCGGGCAGCCTCCCGGGACGATAATTAGCACGGAACGGAGAAGGAATGTTCAATTTTCATTTTATGCAGACTCGAGGAATCCGTAAGAAATGGGAAGAAAGAAACGTTTTTGCGCCATTACAACCTCGTTTCTTTTCACTGTCCTTTTTCTTCCCTCTTCCTTACTTCGCCACGTTATAATGACGCTCGCATAACTCTCGTAAAACGACTTCTGACCAGGTACACGAAGACAATCAGATAACGAACACCCGCACGATCTTACGTAAACAGCAACAACATGCGTTACGACTTACTATACGGATGTAATCAGCCGTGTTTCGATTTTCTTCTCGCTAGTTTCGAGTTTCTCTTCCACAGAGAACGTATGGGGTTTGTGGGTAGCAACTGGATGATACAGGTGAACTTACAACTAGGGTTAAAGTTTTTTAATGCAAATGTTTTCAAAAGATCATCGCAGGACTATTGTGCAAGAAAACTGTCCAAGCTGGACGTTGTAACAGAAATTCCTGCTCCACTTCGATCGAACTGTTTATGGCAGCTGTAGCAATAGCATCGATCTCGATCCTCTCCTGAATCGTTTAACATTATAATGACGAGGCCCCCAAGAACACTCGTAACAGGTAGGAACATACTTGGAGACCTGTTGCGAGAGAACGGACCCCCTGTAGCCTGCGTTCACCGACATCAGATGTTATCTTCATCTATCTAGGCCTAGAGAAGCGAGCCGCTCGATCGGCTTTTCATCTCCTCCTGTTTCAGCTTGTGGCCATGTGAAAATAAAGACGCCTATAACACTGAACGAGTGAATTTCTCTAGCAATTATAATATGCACCGCCCCACACAATTTTATGTTCAAGCCTTTTAATTTTAAAAACATTTTGCGGTCCTTCAAGGAATATTATGTTGCATAACTATTCTTTTCACAATTTTGATGGTGTCTGAAATCCCTATCTTACCGATAGCCCTCGCAAAGAACTATCATGGTGGCGCGAGCTATTGACATCGGCACGAATCACGTTATCTTTCTTTTTAAACCGATAATAGTTTACCATTTTATGATACAGAAGAGATATACCTAAGGAGTACTACTACTGCTAGTAGTCTCTGACCAGTAGTCCTGACTCACAGGAGACACTTTCCACGTTCGTTTAATTTGCTGTATTAAACGCATTAGAGAACTGAACGAGTTGATTTTATTGTTCCCTTCCATTTCTCCTATCACTTACATCCCAGCATCACTTATATCTCTGCATTCTTTACATCGCTTCTTTCTTTATGTCCTTGCATCATCACCCTTATATCCCTGCTCCCTCACATTCCTCTAACCTTTCCACATTTCTATCCCTTACACTCTTCAATCCTTTACATCTCCTTTAAATGTCTGTTCCTCCTACAACTCTGCTTCCCTTATAGCCCTGCATCCGACAAATCACTCTATTCCCTCCAATCTGCGGTACCTTACATCCTTGAAATAACGCTTATGGCGGTCATAATAGCGCCCTCTAGTGGCGAAAAAAGGAACTAAAGTACGGATGAATTTAGCGCCCTCTGGCGGTAAAAAAAGGAACTAAACCTTGCTCAAATTTTGGCCCTCTGGCGGCAAAAACGTGAACTAAAATTTCGACATCGAATCAGCGCCCTCTGGCGGTAAAAAAAGGAACTAAACCTTGCTCAAATTTTGGCCCTCTGGCGGCAAAAACGTGAACTAAAATTTCGACATCGAATCAGCGCCCTCTGGCGGTAAAAAAAGGAACTAAACCTTGCTCAATTTTGGCCCTCTGGCGGCAAAAACGTGAACTAAAATTTCGACCTCGAATCAGCGCCCCCTGGCGGTAGAAAAAAGGAACTAAACCTTGCTCAATTTTTGGCCCTCTGGCGGCAAAAATATGAACTAAAATTTCAACCTCGGATCAGCGCCCTCTGGCGGTAAAAAAAGGAACTAAATCTTGCTCAATTTTTGGCCCTCTGGCGGCAAAAATGTGAACTAAAATTCCGACCTCGAATCAGCGCCCCTGGGGGTGTCTGGGACCCCCTAAATCATGACTCGTCGAAAACAAGGGCATGTCCAGTCTTCTACATCTGTAGTCACTGCCTGTAGTCACTGCTCTAGGAGAGTGTTCACATAACGTAAAGTAAGTATTTTAAAATTAATATACTTTATATGCATACTTACAGTAACGTTATATTGTATAATGACTGTCTGTATTATGAAAATTATAAAATACGAAAAAGATGTTCGATAAATTAATCCAGAACTTTTCAATTCATGTTATGAACATTTAATTGTTTCTAAAACATCTTTATCTCTTTTGCAGTTCTAATACCAAGGAAGAATGACTGAATTCCCAATGTACTCTGCAGATAGCTGTTTACCATACATTCTTACCGGATGTATTTTTTATGGCTTTGGTTTGAAGTGGTGCTATGAATATGCCAAATACTGGGTGTCTCTAAGATCTAGAGATGATTCAAGTACAACCAAAGGATTAAGACTGATAGAAAAATGTGAGAAGTTATTAAATAGACATCCTATTGAAGGGAGTTTAAAATTAATAGCAACTGCTGTAGGTTTAGCTGGTACAATAACTGGTGGGATGCAACAAGTTGGCAATGTGTCTCCTAAAGTTGTACTTGCAACAATCTATTTGTTTTTTGCATTCTCTGGTCTTGTTGATGTTTTAAATTTCTACTTTCCTCACAATGTGAGTGAGGGATTAGTTAAATTGGCACTTGGTCAAAGCTTCTTCATAGAAGGATTTCTCTTCTTATGGGGAAGTGTTGGAAGTAATGCAATAGTGAATTTAATCTTAGCCTTTATAGTATGGACCACATCTCTGGCTATTGCCTTGGAACTTGTGTGGCCTGAATTGAAACTATTAAGAGCTTCTACAACACTTCTTCATGGTGGTTGGATAGCACACATGGTACGGGTATACCATACAGGTATACCAGTAAGACCAGAAGGTGTTGCTCTTATATTTTCTTGGCATGTAGCAGCTGCTTCAGCTGTAACATTATGTGTGGTAGCAATAACAAGAAGCTGTGCTCCTAGAATCATACTAGGAGAACCACCAGAGATTCCTATTTATGATTATTGTCAAGAGCCAGATCAGAGAATGTAAAAATCTCAAATGAGTGCAATATAATTTTGTGCTATTATATAACATTTATAATACGCATAAAAATAATATTTTTAGAGTAGCATATTACTAAAGTAGTTTCAAAAAATCAAATAACATATAATACTTGCGATTTTTACACAGTATTAGTATTTTTTTACTTAATATTTATAACATCGAGATATATCTTGTACCACAACGAACATTTTCTATTTTATACAACCCCTACATAAGCGCGATAATATATACAATTTTCTAATATCCCGAAATAGTAGGTAAAAATACTCATTAGCAATTAAGAGGTGCCTTACGATATTGTTGCTTATTTATTTATTGAGTAGAGAAATACATCATCTTTTGTAATAAATTTTTCTATTTCACCACAAACTTGTATGTGCCAAAAGAATTTGCATAATTATACACTGTAAATAATTCATTTCAATAAACATTTATAAACCATAAATTGTAGTACTTTATTTAAAACAAGGAATACGGAGATACAGTGATAAAAAGAATAAAGAAGGATGTGCAGAAACATTCGTGAGTAAGAATTAATCATGTATGGATTCATTTTATTAAATGTGTAAGGAAATTTGTGGCATAACAAGTCATATGCCATAATACTTTTGTACCCAATATTTTATTTCGACTACGATTAGTTACATAATTTACATTTCATAGAATTGGCACATTTACAAAGAACGGTATAAAACTTATTAATCGTAAATATTGAGTCTGATAAAGTAAATACCGTAATAGTGCAAAGAAACAAGAGAAATGTATAGATATTTACAATGTAAATCGGAAGTTTCGATTGTATAAATACTTTGAACGTATTAATAAATACGTATAAATGTATATCATAGAGTAAGTCAAATGTAAAAACTCACCATAGTTGATGAATAATGTTGTGTTGATGAATAATGATGAATATTGTTCAGTTCATAAGACGCTAACAGTATCGTAGTATTTAATTTAATCAACAAAAGTACCTTAGATCTAACTATGAATGATAGCTATATTGCAACTGATGAAATATTCATTAGGTATCAATATTATATAAATGTAAAAACCAACTTGAATGTAAAAACATCTAAAAAATGGCAAAAAACCTTCTCCATTAACTCTTACTATAAAAGTAAGCTACAACTGTTATACAGGACGTTAATCAAACTTTTAACCAATACTGCAAACATATTCCATAACTTCGTACGTATGTTATTTATGCCTGTAATTTTTCTTACTAGTAATAAAATATGAAGTGTCACACATAGACACTAGTGTAATAAAATGCACAATCTTAAACATGGCTTGAAATTTACTGTCTTAAACATCTGGCACAGAATGGTCCATCAACGTTTTTAATAAGCTGCTATTCATTCTGAAAAAACAACATTCATTTAATACGCAAATTTCTATCAAATTATTACTTCAAGTATTAACACGAATGTACTTTTTAACCATATGGTCGTAAATGTACGATGGAATAACCGTCACAGTGATTATGTTCCCGCCATTTTCAATTTCAGCCGTAATTTCTTTATCCTTTAGTCCAATAACATTCTGAAACATTGTACGAAGTTGATGAAATTTATCAATCTCGTTGAATACTTGAATTTTCAAGTTTGTAATGTACCTTCCCATTAATTTCAAGTATTTGATGATCAGTTAAGAGACCATTTCTAGCAGCTGAAGAATCTTTAACTAAAGCAATAATCTTCCCGTTCTTAAACTGAAACCCGATGTATCCTGTACTGTCTTTGTGCATAGTTACCGTGCGTTCGAAAGGTCTAAAATGATTAAGATTTAATAAGGATATTTGAAATAAAAATAAAATCCACAGGATTTCTTTATAATCTGATTGACCCGCCATAACTAACCTATCCCGTACTACTACTCGGATGTTATTAACGTCAGCATTTCGTAACATTTTGTGAACTTGTTCCATAGTGTATCCAGCAACAGAAACATTATTGATACTTAAAATTTGATCTCCAAACCTTAATCCAGCAAGTGCAGCAGGAGTATTTTGGCTCACAAGACACACAAAGATACCGTTATTTACAGCATGTACCCTTAGACCAATTTTACCATCTTTATCTTTGCAGAGGATCAACTACAACAAGACAGTGATATTTTATATTTGAATATTATATATACTTATATAAATAAAGTATGTTATACTTACTTCCCTTATTCCATTTGTAACTTGAGCTCTTTGTAATCCCAAAGACTGTCCAGACAATGGTGCAACCATACCTGCTAATGGCCCCAATGTTGCAGGGGTGCAGACTGTCATCTGGAAAAAAAAATTTTTTGATGTAATCATTGGACATTAAATTATCATGTATTACTTACATCTGATTTATGTACAAGGGAATATTCAGGCATATTTTGTGCTATCATTTCCTCTGTAAGTTCCAAGCCCATATATTCCCCCAATGAGGGGTATAATGGAATAGAAGAATTATAAACTGGTGCAGTAGGGGCAGATTTTTCATGTGATATAGGTGGAACATTATACTGTGATTCTGCTTGTAGTTGTGCCTAAAAGTAAAATAATATATTAGTTAAAGTAACATTGCTTGAAAAATAGATGAATGTTTTCTTATTTACCTTCATCATATGATCTACCTTCATATCTTCAAGAGTAGGATACAGAGACATTTTGTATAGATTTTTCTGAAAGAAAACACATCTCTATGTGAGATACCTTCAACAAGATACTATGATATAAAATGTCATTCATTAAAAACTAATGCATCAAACAGGGGTAGGAAGGGAACAAAAACTTTGTAAATAAATTTATTACAAAACATGCATAAGTATCCAAGATTTCGAGTACTGCAAATATCGTAAAAAGCCGGAGATATGCGGCATACCAATGTGATGAATCTACTGCAACGCCTAAGAAAGATTCTTAAACAAATATGTATACCCACAAATAAATATCTTAATATTATACCTTTAAAAAATAATTAATATAACGTAATAATTATATTGTAATATGTAAAGTTGTGCGCCAAAAATTACACCACTTTGTGTAAAAACACCCAAGTCACACGACTTGAACGTCACGAGTAATACTTTGAAGTATTATTGATAAGCTACATATGATGAATAAAACAGCCACGGTACTGGACAGTGTTAACGTCAGTGCTGTTAGACCAATTTGTCGATTGGTTGCAATCGTTATATATATTGTGTTCCTTCATGCAAACGATTGGTTCAGAGTCTTCGTTGTGCGCCATTATGTGCAGCCCCGACACCATGTACGCCAATCGCTTTACTCATTCCCCTGTAACCCCGCCAGACCGCTTCAGTTTGAAATTTCATCGCTGAAGCCTATCGTTTTTCTAATAAAATTTTTGAACTCAATGATGAATCTCTCTAAAAAACGTATCCTACATACCTAAATAGTTGCATATAGTTGTTTTATCATTTATAAATGCAATCTCATTACGCGATAAATTCACTATCAAGTCTTAAGTAGAAACTTAACAACTCTGGTAGTGGTAAAGAAACTTATACTCAAAGGACATTAGAAACTTCTAAACATTTTATAGAAAGAGAAGTATTTATTAATTGCTATGGACGAAGAGGAAGCGGAAGGACCGGAAACTCCCTATATGACGTGGCGATTTGTGTCTTGCGTTTCAACTTCGTTGACAAGTTAAAGAAGGAATGAAATAACGGTGGGGGAAAATAGAATACGGTAGGGGAATAGCGGATCGTCGGCTAATATGTAGGTAGTACTCAGTAGTGTGGCCTCCGTGCGGGCCGTGGTGGACCAACAGGTGTTTCGAGCTTGGCTTTCGCGATACCGGTTCCCTTCATTTTCTAGCGGTGTTTACACCGGTTCCTTTCACTCACAAATATACATCGAATTTATCCATAGTATACTTGCTGCCGAGCAAACGTAATATGATGTCGGAGACCGTTGTGACAATGGACAGTTCCAGCAACAACACCAGCAATAATCCTCGACAGGTGCCTACGGTGAAGACAGAACCGGGTCAACCGAACCCTCTGACTAGCATTAGATTAAACGTGCCCTACTTCACCACCATACCCGGTATCATCAAACTCGTGCAATTGGTGAGTACATTACATTGGTTTCCTCTTCTCGTTATTAGAAAAGAATTGATCGCTAAAAGAAACTTATTCAGCGAACTTATACAAGATTAAAACGCAATTTCGCCTCGCTCTTAACCGCGATCGATACAATGCTTTCATTATCAGCTATTCAAAATAAGAGTATTAAATGATATTTACTGAAAAATACTTTAATCCTTTGTAATCTTTATTTTCTGCTTTATTTTCCAAAGTAACAGATTATGTAGCATTACGTAATTCAACCTTACATTATCTTAATAAGAACAGAGTTTCTTCCATTGTAATTAATAACTAGCAACGAATGATATGACTTGTAAATTTAAATAAAGAAAATATATTCAAACTATAAAACAAAAAACAAATATCATGTTTTGCACCTTACGTCGAAAAGATTTCGTTCTAATTGTAAGAATATTTAATGCCGTAAAATAATATTTTATAAAAGTAAGAACAATCTTATGTTCCGTAAGATCGTATTTTTTACGATGCAATTAATCTCATTGTATTTTGGCAGACATTCATCATTGTTTTGGCGCTTTGACTGTCCATCTATCTTTTATACGGCGTTGTTATTTTGAACGCGTATGTTTTGGAGCGTTGCGCAATTATGCGTCCGATTCGTGAAGCTTATTTTCTCGCAAGAGAACCAGTTTTCATTCTGAATAATCCTGTATCGTAAGCAATAAAACTTTGATAACGTTTAAACTGGCAGGTAGGAAACAGTACAACCTTCGAATTGTATGGTTTGCATCATGACGTTGAATGTGCAACGGTATAAATGCATAACGGGAACCTCTTTACGGAACTGTTAACAAAGTATCCTGAGGGGACAGAAAGGGTAGTTTCTAATTATGAGAATGCGATATCAAGCGTTAATCGTTGTTAACCGGTAACGTTAAGCACATTTTCCGTTTCTTCCGATGTTCAGCAATGTTCAGCGATGTTCCTTGTCGAAATCGATGGTACCGTTAGGTGATCAGCATCGGTAAGCATCGTTTCTCTTTGGTTTACGCACGTGCAGTCAGAGACACGCCCGTAAATCTTTCTTCTATATCTGTGGTGTATAAAGCGCGTGTACCTTCCTTCAATTTTTATATTACAAAAAAATCTGTTTGTTTCTTACCACGATACGATTGAATTTCCGATCGAATATCTGAAATAATCGTTCAGATAATCACCCCACCTGTCATAACTTTTCGATAACGCGAACGAGCGAGCATAATTTTAACGAGACTCTGTAAAACAATGTTACCTTGGCGTAACGATGTCTTTTGGTACACAAAAGTAGGAAAATGCGTGCGTGACGAACGGTGATTTTGCAATAGCACGATTGAATTACCAACAGATAGAAATCAAATACAGCACGGTGTTATTTCATGAGACTTTGCCGTCCTCGAACGGAGGGTATCTTATTGATTGCACATTTACATGCCGTGCAAAACACCGTGTCACGGATTCTGTGTAACGAACTCGTTACGATCATTCAGCGTTAATGAGTTTCGAGCGTTCAAATGCCAATTATCAGCCCCTTCGTTTCAACCGAACGCAAACGAAAGATGGAATTCTCGCGACGTATGGATTCCAAATTTATACAAGCGTCAATGATATTTAAAGAATATAGAGGAACCGGTTTTTCGAAAAGAATGATAATCGTGCATAGTCGAGGAAAAACTTGGCTGGTGTGCTGGCATAGTTTCAATACACTCGGAACACGTCCCTACTAACTAGACGCACGTTTGATGACCATACATGTTCATCCCGATGACCGGGACCATACGTGGCGTCCCACATACTCAGAGTTCCATCGTACTGGCACACGTCGAGGCCGCACCAACGGTATCGAAACGATTCATTAAGAATTCAAGCTGTCCTTGACTTTTCGACGATGATTTTCGTTCCTGTACGATCGATCTACCACTACCGGTTGCCCACCTATGCGACTTGATACGTTTTACCAAAATTTTTACTAGTTCGTCAGTAGGAAATGTTAACAGTATCGAATCTTTAAGAAACAATGTCTTCTTCTTATCAGTCTGCATGTACAATCGCGTTTGTTATGCAAATCCGACTAACCGAACCTTGAGAGGTAATAATTAATAGCAAGGATTCGTTGTCACGAAATTGCGTGTAGGATAAACAAGAATTGGAACATACAATAGTAGAAGTAGTATAATACAAATGCTATGTTCTACGCGTTGTGTCATTTGCGCGCGTCATATTTATTTTCGCGTACATACGTACTCCGCATATAGGTTTAATCTTACATTACGTATATGTGTTGCCCTCCATTGGAATAAATCTAGGTATTTTTCAGGGTCGTCGATACTATAGACTTCGTGACTTTTCCTAGCGTTCTTTTAACGCTTTTCCTTGAGTCTGAATAAAATTACGTTTATTCGATTTTTTAAAAGACTTTTTCATTTACCCAAAACACGTTTTAAATGAATTTTAACTTGTAGACTGATCCCCGAATAATTCCCATGCAAGTATACAAGCAGATTATCCTATACGAGGGGTTAATTTCGGTCAGGGTAATAGACGCACACGTTCCTTCTCTGACCAGTGATCGTCTTCTATTAACTGTGAGAAGAGAACGTGTGAAAAAGTTACGCTTTTAAGGTCACCACGTATTCTGATATCGATATAGGGTACATACAGATTAGTGCTCTCGGTATATTTGTCGAATCATTTTTAGAGTCGTGTTGACGCATAACTTCGATAACACGATTCAGAATATCCTCAGTTTAAAAAAAGAAATTCAAAAAGTTTGAAGAACAGTCGTACAATTTCGTGACGAAGACGGTGTTTAACATTTTACTGGAAAAATAAATGCCTGGCTATTCTAGTTGGGGTAGGATGGAACGAGCAACGCACCGAATTACGCAATGCCAATTATTACAACGGTTGTCGGGTCGTAGTGGCACGAGTTCTTATGGTGTGTAGGCTGTTCACCAGGCATATCGGCTGGTGCAACAAGTTATGCATCGTAGTAATTGCACGCAAGTAGCTTATAGCAAGGACAAGCCGCACCTCGCAACGCGGACTACTCGCGGCCTGGTCGACTATGTACCTATCGGAATCGACACGGACAGGTCATAAGAACGATCATTTTTTTGCGCTCGCGCTTGCAAGAATACCGCCAATCGATTAAACTAGTTCCATCGTTTGATTTGTCGAACAAGCGAGTTCAATCGTTTGTTCACCGAGTTAGCGTTTCTAGCTTTCTCTCAACATTTCGGAAAAGAATCGAACCGAGCCATTTCTTAGCCTTTTAAGAACATTGCGCTTACGTTATATCGTAGGCAGAACATTATGTAAATGATTCATTCAATTAGTAGCGGCCAATCAAACGTTGCTAGTCATGCTCACTTTTCGTCTCGTTTTCGTGGAATGACGCGAACAAGAACAAAAGGAAATTACGTAGGATAACAAAGCAGGTACGCGCACCGTTTATGAATGGTTAATGTTGATACACATACCTGTCGAAGAAATATGATTCACGGTCCTAGAAATTTCTATGCGATATCTGGCGATAGGAAAAATGGTTTGAGCTCTACGTAATTCTTGCAAGAATATGCACGTCAGTATATACGCACACAATGGCACGTCTATCGGTGTTTACTGACACACATGCACGTACATCGACGCAAAATTTTTAACCTTATTCAACGCGATTTACATTGCTAATTACGTAGCTATTTCTATAACCGCTGTTTATTCCATCGTGATCCTACGAGCACGATAACGTAAGTTAATTCGTCAGAATAGTAATCGTTTGTGCAAATCGCAACGTTGCTTAAATTGATTAGCAGATAAAAGAAAAAAAAAAAACAGGGCTTCTTTAGAAAAGAACGACAGCCTTTCGAGAGAAAGGCAATCGTTACAACACCTTAGAACATAGCGTAAATCCTGTAACAATTTGTTAATTTAAACGAGTACGGTAGCTATTATTACATTATTGCAAAGAATAATGCCGCGATGACGATTGTATTATAAGAACATTATTTTCAGAAAGTTCAGATAAAACAGGGTGTGTGGCAGAGTCATCGCTGTTTTAAGAAGTAAGCTTACGTCATCGTTTCGACATTTTACCAAACTTTATCGCATAATTTGTAAAAATGGCTCCTCTATTATACTGCTAAAACTTCATGATTTGCATAATTTAATCTTATTTGAGGAATCGATGCTTTTGAATATTAATTAAGAGGAGTGACAATAGTTGAGCGCGTCGTGAGAATGGTTATAGCTGCAAAAGTTACTAGCGTAGGATGTACCTGGTAGCCACTTAGTAATCGCATACGAATAACGCATGTGGGTCGTAAGGTTTCTATCCGAGTTTTCTTATCTATGCTTGGACTTGGTATGTTCAAGTAGTGCTCTCAATTTCATTCAAGTAAGCGGTTTTCTACGCGAACGGATAGCCACGGTCGCGTTACGAAGTGCAAGCAATTCAGCGTTGCATCCACTTCTGGATTACAATACTTTTACTTCGCGACAGAAATACTTCTGAATAACGTTTGGCGCGCATGTTTTGTTCTACATTTATTCGATAAACTCATCTGACCCTTGACGATATTAATCGGGAATTTGTTTCACGCGATGTTCCAGTGGACTTTCGTCCTCGTTCATCAAACACTATGAACGATCGTTCGACGATAGATCTGAAATTCCTGTTGCTAATTTTAGAGCCGATGCCGTTTCTTCGAGTACTCTGCTTGTTTTGTTTCGTGCTTTCGCATCCGTTGTGTTTTAAGTAATTCGATCGAATTATCATGAAAACGCGTGATTATGAAAAGTCGAGAGGAAAATTGTAGCAGAAAAGTAGCTGGAAATGTCTATCTGTTACGTTCCGTTTCGCTGCTCGTTGACTCTGATTCTGGGGGGACAAGTGAATGGGATTTAGGACACTACCGTCATTATTAGGATCGTTAATATTATGTATGTATATTAGAAGTAATGTACAGACGTACAATCCCTCCCATGAATAATGTAGAACCCCGACCTATATTTTCGAGCGGCTATTTCTCCTCCATAAAGTTATTTTAGGAACCGTCGTCGTTATTTCTCGTTTCTCTGCTCTCGAATCAAGAGAACGGCGAACAAATTTTGTACACAATCTCGCGTCGATGGTGGCCAGAGGAAACAGTTTGAACAAGTTGAAATATTCGCAGGAAACCATCAGCCATTAGCTCTTCTAGACGCGTATATTTAGCGAGGAGACCAGTTGGCTTAGACGTGCCACCATCAAAAGGTCAATTAACAGAGTACCTATTTTTATGCAGGAAAAATGGTTAGAAGGTAAATTGTATTCTAGATACTTGACAAAGCGTGTACGGACGAAACCTATTCGTGTTTAATCGGTGTGTCTTGTAAACATTTGTAATGTTCGAGCTATTCCTACGAATATTAATAACTCGTATAATATTGCACGAACCATTGACGCTAGGAATTCTTAGCTGCACATTTATTGCGGTCGACGACGTTTTCAAACGGTGAAAGTGAAATTCTATCTTCGGTGCACAGTTCTAGCGTTCCTATCGTTCGCACTTTCGCGCCCGTTCACTCTTTCACGCATTCCTGTCTCTTGAACATTTTATCTGCATTCATTTTGCGTTTCTTAAGTTTTACTTAATACTTTGGGTAGATATACTGTAACGATCAAACGGATTACCAAAACTTTCTGCGAGAAGGTGGAAACAGGACTGTTTCTAGGGTGAAGGTTTGATCGATTTTGGTAAGGTTTGAAATGTCCGCGATACCGTGCACGCAGTATGGCGGCAAAGAAAAAGAAGATGCCGAGGAAAGGGGTTAAACGTCCACTTGACTGGACGTTAGTCGACGAAAATATCGAAGATGTGGAACGGATAAAGCTGGATGCCGAAACGCAACGAGAACTGGGCTGTTTGGTCGGCGAGCACGTGTTCCTCGAATACCCGTGGGCGTACGTGCAACGAGATCTCGTTATAAATTTCTCTAAACTACCCGAGTCGTCTCTAGAAGCGTTTCAAGAAAAAATTCTCGCCTACAAAGCCGACACGTTTCTTCTGGGCTACGCTTCAACCCAGTTGATTTCCGACGAATTTGTGATTTGCCTTAGCGAGCACGCGAAACGCATTGTCTGCGAGCGAAACAGAGATATCTCGAAGGCAATCTGGAACAAAGTTGCGAATAAAGTAAGAAAAAAGGCGAATTACTGGCAGTCTTTGGGCAGCGAGTTGGAAGTGGAAGAAACTTTTGTGAAAAATCTCAGGGAATTGTTCGAAGTGGAAATTGTGTTACCTGGAAAACTGTTGGGTTCGAACCGAAAATTATGCGACAGAGGTTCGAACGATTCTAGAGATAGCTACGTGCAGCTCGTGAACGCGAACGAGAACTTTGAAAACATCGACAGAAAATGCATCGCTAGAACTGTTCAAACGCATTTGCCATCTCGGGAGGCTTTCGTTCAAACGTACCTTAAGAATCCTAGAAATGCATGGACACAGTATGTGTACGAAGACACTTTGAACGACGCTTCTATTCATGAAGAAGACCTCGAAGAAAAATCGGAGGAGAATGACGAGGAGCGATCTCGAGAAAAAAGCGACATCGAAGACAAGGAGGTCGAAGAGATACCCAGAGAAAAAACTCCATTAGAATTATTTCTAGAGGCTCGATCACAGGAGATGATCGAGGTTATCAGATATAACGCAGCAGTAAATTTACACGTGGACGATGTTCAAAATTTATCTCGTCCAGAATGTAAAATCCTAGCTCTTCCTAAAGCGAATACTTTCCGCGAACGATGCTCGTTCATTCCTTTCAATTTTAAAGTCAATAAAGCTATTTCAAACGTTTCCGTCCATCCGAAGTTAACAGAGTACGTAGCAATTTCGTACATCAGCGTCCCAACTGGAAGCTGGGAAAATAAATTTGCGAACGAAGGCGAATTTCAAACTAGAGTGCTTCTTTGGTCGTTTCAGGATTCGCTTCGTCCACAACTCAGCCTTCAGGACCACAGAGAGATTTATTCTGTTTGCTTTTGTCCGTACGACGACAATTTAGTGATCGGAGGCTGTTCTACCGGCCAAGCGATCGTTTGGAACATCGAAGATTATTTGAGCAGCGATCGAAATGACAAAAATATAAAATTTAGAACCTCATCGCAAAACAACGCGCCAGTATTTCGTCCGATTGTTGTTTCGGATAAACATCGTTCTCATTGCCTACCTGTTCGAACGATCTGGTGGATGCCTGCCAGCTATAAAGTAGAGCCAAATGGAAAGTTGACAAAATCATCCGTTTCCACGGACGTGCAATTTCTAACCGCTTCCGAGGATGGCACGGTTGCCTTTTGGAACCTTTCTCTTAGCTCCAAGTTCCGCACTCTCGTCGAGGACGAGATTTTTCAACCAGTCTTTCGCTTAAGGGTTCCAATTTCGAGCCAAGAATCAGAGAATGTAACGCTGTTATGTTTGTGTCTACCATCGATCAAGAACCCGAAGGATACGGAGTACACGAGAAGTTTGTGGATAGGTTGCAGAGAAGGATTGATAAAGTGTAAATGGGAAGAGCAGGCGGAAGATACAGCAGAGATCGTCGAATGTAAGATCTTAAATCATTCGTACGTGCACGACGGTCCAGTTACAGAAATTACGAGATCTCCTCATCTTCGAGATGTTCTTTTGACGATCGGTGGACGAGTGTTCGCCATTTGGAGAGACGACTATCTGGATTCTCCGTTATTCTGGAGGAGGGCTCGTAGGTACACGGTTTGCTGTTGGGCCAACGAACCCGGAGTTTTTCTCCTCGGCACCCGAGACGGTGCATTCGAAATTTGGGACATAAAGAACGAATCGAATCAGCCGGTGTTTTCGCGAGTCGTATCATCGAGATCGATCAGCAGTCTGATATTGTTGGATTATCTTGGGTGCAAAGGTTCGAAAATGATCGGTATAGGAGACCAAAATGGATTTTTTCACGCGTTCGAAGAACCCGAGATCTTTCGTGGCGATCAGACGATTATCGAGAGGATGGATTGGTTCGAGGAATACGTGTGGCGAGAAGCGCGAAGGAAAAGAGTTTTCATCGGTTGGCAAGAGGATTTTCTTGCCAACGATCCGGTCATGATAGCGAAACGAGCAGCTAGGCGTGACGAAGAACGCAAAAGAGAAGCGGAAAAGACGAGGGAAAGGCTTCGTAGAGAGCAGGAAGCGCGTTTGAAATTGAGAGCTGAGAAAAGGACTCGCAGTGCACCGATATCAAAGGATGTTGCGTGGAAATCGAAGGAATTCGATAGAATGAAAAATGTACTTCTTAGTAAAAAGGGCTTGGTTCCTGCCGAGCTCGAAGCGAAAAGGCTTCCTCTGGTTGTCGCAAAAGCGGAAAGGGATGCAAAGTTGAAGAGAGCTCAGGACAAAGTTGCCAATCAGGAAGCACACTTTTTGAACAAACTGCTCATTGATTTTCCAGAGTTGTTCGAAACGAAAAGGGAAGCTTTGAAATCCAAAGAATCGGTCGAACAACAAAAATCCGTGGACGATTATTTGAAAAAATTTGACGAAATACGCAATCGAGCTAATGAGATGTTAACTAAAAATTCGCGCAATTAAAAATTCGATATTTTTGCATGGTTGTCATTTTGCTTCTATTTATATGGTAGTAAATAAGAGAAATCTGACAAAATACACGAGAAAATATAATTAAATGCAGACGTATTTTTTCATGTTTCAGGCTCTTGGTATAATATGCATGGCATGCGCGTCTCCAGCATGGGTAGGTGCAACCCACTGGTTTCTATTTGTCGCTGTGACAGCTTTCATCGCCTCTTTATTATGGTGTTTCGTTTACGTGTTGTCGATTCGAGAAGCACTTAAACTACCCATCAACTGGATTTTGACGGTAAGCGAAAAGTTGAAACGTAAACGTAATTACGCAAAGTTAACTGTATTCGATTATTCATAAAATATTCATTTTGCAGGAACTTTTGAATACTACGGTGTTCGCGATACTCTACATGATAGCCTTCATAGCACAATTGTCGGTATGGAGCGCGTTGCACCATGTGTCTACCTCGAGGAACATCGCAGCAGGGGTAAGAATAAACGAGCTCTATCAAAAGAATGTAGGACGCGAACGAAACATTTCGGCTAGAATCATAAAATTCTCGTTTCTCGTCCCTTAACGACCGCATTAAATTGACATGAAAAACACGACACAGATAACAGTCGTTAAAATTTCTTGTTTCTTCATAGGTATTCGGAATTTTTAACACGCTTGCGTACGCCGCTGGAGCGTATTTCCTGTACGTCGAATGGAAGAGCAGCAATACGCAGTGAAGATGATCGAAGGTACTGAAAGAAATCAAGGTACCTGAAGAGCACCTACGACAAAGCTACTACACCCGGGTTCTATCGATCCAACGACTATTCAAGATCATGATAGACCATCGCAGAATCATCGCGTTCGATCAGAAGAATAAGCACCAGGCTAAAAGAAGAGATCGATGGGTTGAAGCTAGTCCAACGTGGCCCTTTCCCAATCGTGTATCGTAGCTTAAGATCAGAGAGACTCTGTAATCTATGTGCCTTAAAAATAGTTTGCTTGATCGACAACGCGCCTCGATCGCTCTCGTAATCGTCTGGAATCGCGTACGCGCTGTCAGGATCGATAGAAATCGTGTTTCTTTCGAACTCGACGCATAATTTCTTTTAGACGTTTCGAATTTCAAAGTGTTCCGGACAATTACGAGAGCATCGCGCATTTGTCAACCGAATACAGTTTGCCGCTGACCTGAGACAGGTTGCGCGCCGAACGGGAGATACCAACGACTCTCCAGAACTTCTTCGTTTCGAAGGAGATTCGTAGATTCTCCTTTTTCAATTTTCTCACGGTACGAACAATAATACTATTACCAAGAATGTTGACAGCAATCGTCTCGATAAAGTGAATCGCGACTCAGGGTCGATAAAATCCATATTGGACGTGAATCTTCCCAACTTTCTTATAGTCGTGTTTAGTTTCTCGGTCGTGTTACTGTGCGTACATCGTACAGTACTCTCCCGTCCAATTCAATTTTTCTAATCATACCCTTTCCGCACTATCGCGAACTTTTTATATTTATATGTATACACCTGTTAGACATATACATATACGTATCTATTTCATATAAGTAATATATTTGCACAAATTTGAGATGCAGTGCGTTGTTCTTTCTTTCCTTTTCTTTTTTTCTATTTACTTTCGTTCATTCATAAAAGGACTCGAATACAATTCGTGTTTGTGAATCTAAGGACAGTTCGTTGGTACGTAAACGTTTTTAAATACATTGTATTTCTTCTGTACACATTACCATGGAAATATATGTTCGTTTTCATTTACGATTCCCAATTTCTCCTTTTTACAGCCATCATAGTGCGGTCGATGTATATTAGGTAAGGATAAATTAAGGTAAAATTAAAGTGACCAATTGTTAACAGACAGAACGAGCTAGCTTGAAACTATTGATAGCAACATTTATCTTAGATAAGCGAGAAAATTAGAAATAATGATTCTTATGCACTTTTGCGGCGACGATCTTTCTCTGAAAACACGTATTCGAATATGATATCATGAATGACGTCATTCATGGTACCGCGTTCGAAACGCAAGCGTACACTTCAGTCAATCCCAGACGTCCGCCGCGTGACCACCTATCTCATTAAGGTCAGTTTAAACCTAGTGCACATTGTCGTTTGCATTTGCCGGTTAATAGAAACAATCGTAAATCCTGTACAGAGATACTCGTTGCATCGATATCGTGGGTTTCTCGAGCAAACCTTGTACGAGAAGTGTGGTAAGAGCAAATTATATCTAGTTTTCAATGTATAGATTATCCATCAATTCGTTTTGACATGTTATCGTTAGAACTGACAAATACAAAATACGTAATGGGCAATCTCTTGAGTTTATCGCATTTAATTACGATTTACCTGATTATCAATGAATTATCAAAGGACAAGCAAGCATCTTATGAAAGACCGGTGAAATGTGCTCTGCATGATTCTCCAGTATTTTTATCGGTTTCATTGGTAGATGTGCTTTCATTTAAAAATAACTAGTGACGACATTTCGCGGGTGTTTGTTTATTCGTAGCCGCGCTAATTCGAGGATATTCACGATACACATTAAGAGAAGGAATCTTTTATGTCTCCCCGATATGCTGACTTTTGAATTTTGCTTTAATTTTCATTGAATCAGCGATCGTGTAAATGTTATGTATAGAACTTACTGCAAAGCGTTGCTTTTGATTAGATAAAGTACTGTAATCTTTATTACAATCTGTCATGCAAAGTATTCATTTCCTGTACGTTCCTCAACATTGAACCGAAGGGGAAAGTGATTCCGGAGGACTGACCGTGTTATCGATCGACAACAAAGTTTAGGGGTGCGGCAAAATATACGAAATGAAAGTGAAAATATCCGCGCTTTTCGCTTCGAAACATGCTTCTGCGTTAAAGTATCGCATTTACATCTACCTTTCGAATTTTTCTTTTTTTTCTTTTGTTCGTCGACTGAACGTAACACAAGAAACCTGAGCTGGTGATCGGTGAAGGAAAGCAGCGTTTCTTTGGTGAAAATAAAACGCGCGACTCGATGGCTATTCTTGGGTGTCGGAAAGCGGAGGAGGTTGTTCGCAAAATGTAGGCCGCGCCTCGAAATGTTAGCCTTGGCCCTCTTTTTCCTCCTGGAGTTACTTTCCATGGAATATGTATACTCGTTGCAACGTGCTATCTTCTTTTTTTATTATAAAACAAATATTTTATCAAGCAGAGGGAACTTTGAATCACTCCTAAATCATAAGGTACACCTGCGTCAGTGTGTAATAATAATTACTGAAACATATCTCGTATCAGTTGCTAGGTAGAAAAGTGTAATCATAAATAGTTCGTGGATGATATCACAGGCTGCTTTCTCCATCATAACGTGCCGCTTTCACTCTCGTTTCAGAATCGGCAACGAAGGGAATGACAATGTCGCATTCGGTAACCATCAGAACACAAACGGTGACGAGTAGCTCCACGTCGGTCATCATCAACACTGGTTATTTGAAAACGTGGGGCGGTCTTTTCAAGTTATTGCACGTGGTAAGCCTTGCCATTAAAAAAATAAATAAATAAAAAATTTACGTGAGAAAAGATTAGTAATCAGTACCGTTCTGTTATCGCTACGAAGTTCCGCTTCCGCTCAGAAATTGCAATCTATGCGATACACAGTTTGGTTTAATCTCACTTTACGTGTTTCCCCGTTCACTCTTTATTGACCGTGTTTTTTAGGCACTGGGAATAGTTTGCGTGGCAATAATTGGCCATCGATTCACCACGCATGGTGGATACCAATATACCGCTGAATTATTCTTTCTTTTAATAACGACGACGTTTATGATCTCTAGTTTTATCCTACTGGTAAGCTGTTTAGCTTCACTCTCGACGTCGTCTATCATCTCAAAAACCATCTTCGTAAGTATTAGAAATTTCAGAAGAGATTCGTTATCACAAAATGATGTATTGTAAAATGATTCTTTTATAGGAACTTCTCTATCATTCTATAGCATTTGGATTATATTTAGCTGCATCGTTAACTTTTATAGTGCATGTATCGAATATGAAAGGCTACAGCCAATACGAAGTGTTAATGGCTGCTGCGGTAAGTGGAAAGAATAAGATGATTGCATTTAAAATTTGTAATGTCCCTCGTAATTTTAATTTTTTCATTTTAGATCTGCGGTTTGGTAAACTCTGCATTGTATCTCCTAAGCACTATCGTTGCTCTCCGTACATACAGAGGAATTTGAGAACATTATTGTGCCTTTTACTGAAAATCTTTTCAATATTTTCAATATTGTCATAATCGTCTTCGAATCGTACGTATTGTTTCAAGTTTCGGACATCGAGTCGAATCTAACTCATGGTTTTGTACCAAACCTTTTCGAAGAATATTTATTGTAATTTGTATATTTTGTAATACTGACACAAGCACAAACGCAACAAACAATTTACGCTTACTCGAATGGTTAAGTACGTTTTATAAATACCATGTGTGATTTAATATTTTATATTGTCTATTGATATTTTATACGGTTCCTCCATTTATACGCATTTATTCACAGAAATCGTCTTTGAAATGTATTTATTTTACTTGTATCTAACGTTTATGTAAGAAAAATATACCAAGAAAGAGTATACGTAGCTACCGATTGTAACTCATTTTCCGATGATGCCCGATTAGATTACCGTTGTCCACAGTCCGAACAATTAATCATTTACAAAAGAGCCCCTCAAATCGCTTGTTTGTTATGCACACCATCGATCGACTGACGTAATTATTATGAGTCAGAAAATTCGAAGATACAGCGTGGACTAAAACAAAACTTTCGCACGACCATTGCCACGACGTGGATCTGCACGTAGGAACGTATCGTGCGAAAAGAGTTTTGACGAAGTTGAACAAACAGAGAGAACAGGATGCTGTTAATTACATTATGTATGCAATCGAGAAATCGATGACTCGTTTCATTTTTGTCCATCGATTCGACAATGATCGAATCATACAGCCGTGTACGAAATTTAAAGATCACTCTGTTCATCTGCTTCCTTTGCCCAATACAATTCCCATTTCGTTCTTTTTTTTTTTTTTATATTTCCTGTCTACCGTCGACCGGGTGTACGTTCCGGCGCGGCACGTGCCAGAAATAGCCGGTATCCCTTGTGTCGAATGCAACGCAGGGGGTGCAACGACATTTAAACGTTCTGGATCGACGGTGCAAGACCCACAGTTTGCTGAAAAGAGCTCGCGGACACGGTTCTCTCCCCCGTGTGTGTTCAGTAAATTATTCGTCGAGCAATCGACAATCTCGGTTTTCAACGTACAAGAGATCATCGTCGAGTCGAACCGTCCTCTACCTCGTAACAATGCGAATTAATCGTCGTTTAATCAATTAGAGCGATCGTATCAAGGGGTCTGCTCGTACACGAGACGGTTTAACGAACTTATCAGACACCTACGCATTGGCGACGGATCTTTCTTTCGCGAAATCTTCGAGTGCAGGATAAAACAAAGGGAATTACTAAGATCGATCGAATAAAACAATTACATACGTGATGGGTAGAAACGGAGTCGGTCCAGTGATCAGGATGTCGTCCACAGGCACCCATACTGCTGGAGGCGTGGAATGTTGCTTCTGTAGGTGTTGCACCTGCATACACATTGAATTTTTGAAAACTATGCCTGGAATGTTGAAACTGTGCGAAACGGTAAGTTCTAAATGCGTTAAACAACTGTATAGAGAACTTACGGTAATAATAACGGAGCGTATATTTGTGCGTAGATTATCAGTGGTCTGATACAAAGCTTGCTAATTAATTACGGTTTAAAATACAGTACAACGATTGGCTCGGCTTTCGAAGGATCTTTGACTACGTCTTCTGCTTGCTTCTTGACGTCAGCGGTATTACTTGCCTGCTATATTGTATCTGAAAAGTCGTATAAGCTGATTAGATCCTCTTTGTTCGTACGTAGAAGCTGCTACATTGGTGCCATCGATCGACAAGTGTCGAATTTTCAGAAAAACTATATTTCTATTTTCTTGTAGGAAATGATGTTTAACGCTTTAGCCTCCTTCTTGTACTTAAGTTCAGCTTCCTATTTGGCATTCTCTACAAAGATATTTCTCCTCCCTGATTATTACATCAGGCCAGGATTTGACGTCTATCCTGCAATGACAGCAGCCTATGTATGCGCAATTACTTGTTTATTTTATTCAGTTTCTGCACTTCTATAAGTTTATTTTATTTGTACAGTTTATGAGCGGCTTTGTAGGAGTGCTGCACGGTGCGGATGCGTATTTCTCCTACATTCATTATCGAACGGGAAGATGAAGAGGTAAAGGTGTCCAGTGTCTGAAAATATTAACCTACGATTAGTGGGTAAAGGATAAAAGGGAAAGCAATGCATATAATTGCATTGCAAATTATAAATTTTCTATGATGTACCGCCGCCCTTTATTTGAATTTGAAAGTAAAAGGCGCAAAGATCTACGAAGTTCACATAGCGCCGTCTGTCATCGATATTTCGAAATGCAAAATCGATCTATGGTTGCGCTACCTACTACTAATTTATGGAATTAAAGGCTAAAAATCATTTAATTCAGTAAAATTCGAATACTTGACATCAGAGCATAAGTTTAAAATAAAAAAAGGAACGTAGCAGATGGATATAATTTTACTACTATTCAATTAATTAATAATTGCACAGTTACAGTAATTGTAGCACATCTTTTTTTGTTCAATAAATGTTTATAAAACCTACTTCTTTCGTCTTTCTGTTTCCCTTTAAATGACCTTGCATTTAGACAGAATTACTTCAGTGACCTCTGCACGTCGCGAACAAGAAAATACAATGATTCATTTAAAAAAAGAACCAATCTGACCTTCGCATTTCTTAAGCGACTCCACCTAATTGCTACCCTGTAATGCTTACTCTGTCTGTTCAAACAAATTTTTATCTAACAATCCAACGCTCTTACCTGCTACAACAGTGTAAATTAATTATGAATTTAATGAACGTATTTTAATTAATATTCTCAACTAGCTGTAGGTGGGGTGACAGAGGGTAGGTAAACATGCTTGTCTACACGTATAATTTGATGCAAGTAAAAAGAGTTGCTGTTTGAAAAGTTAAAAAAAAAATAGTTCTAAAAATCACAAACGTAACGATTCAAGAAAAAGGATTGACGAAGGTTTCTTCTTGATTGAGCGGTATCCACGACCCTGACGAGTGGCATTGGTTGTAGGTGGAGTGCAATTTTGAAGAGGACTGTACAAAAACTGTGCAGGTCGTTTCAATACGTACCAGGGTATACGTGGATCCCGGAGAGTGAATGGAAGTTATACGCGTCGGTCCTCACGGACTCTTCGATGGAGACCGTGAGGTTTCTCTTTCCTCTTTGCCGCACCTTCCCCTTCCATGATCCATGAAGCGTAGCCAGGTCTCTCTTCTTCTTTTGGCCTTTAATCTCTGTCTTTGTTGCATGTTTGCGGTTTCTGTTGCTCTCGTAGAAGCCTCACCGAGCATATCACACGGCTGGAGGCATGTGGACGACAGTTTACTTCGGGATCCCGAACCGGTCAATTCGCGGACAATTTCGAACGCTGTCCGCGATCAAGCGGAACTAACCCGAGGAAAATCGTGCCGCTAATATGGGGTTGCACGCCAGAAGCATCAACGATAGTTTGAGACTAGCGTCGACGATCAAGGGTAATTAATTTTTTTTTTTTTTTTTCACGTTCCTTAATCACCTGTCTTACGACGACGAAGAAAATAAATCCTGTTCGTGGAATAATGAAAAGTTTGATTAGAACTTCAAATATATTTTGCATTTGGGAAGCACAAGATTTTTGAACAAATCCTCTGTAGAATATTTTCTTGGCCGTCTTTGGGGCTCAAGCGGTAAGCAGGTAGATGGCTAATTGCACTCGATGTCTGCAAAAATCGTAAAGCAAGGGGGTTAACAACTCTGCCATTTATTACCTGCTTCCGGTGGAGGGTACCCAAAGCAACAAATTTTACCCTCGAATTGGCCGAACAGATTTAGAGCTATTTGACGTGCTTTCCAAGCGCATTTTGTATCTCGCGTGTAATTCAACAGGTGCCAGTCACGTACCTTCTCTTCTCTCGTTCCTTATACACAAGGTGCTATTCCTTCTAACACAGTGTAATGCTTTCTCGTTTTATTTCGAATTTTGCGTAATGTAAGAGTGCAGAATGTTACGTGGTAATTTGCTGCATTATAACCATGGAGGAAAAAGCAATTATTTATACCGGTGTGTCAAATTAAAGCAATACTTTCTCCGACTAATAGCGTGAATGCAACTATCCGATTTCACTTTTAATATAAATCAGTTTAAACAACTCTATCATCTATGATAATTAAATATCATTAGTGCATGAAATTGATTTGATTTACATGCCACAATGTAACGAAATGAAACGGTACTTTAATTCGCGATAATTCGCGAACAAATATTTATTTTGCGACAGACGAGAAAGGATGTAATACTAACAGTGAATATGTACTGTGTCGATAGAAGGATGAGAGAGGTCTGGTATGTACAGGTGCCGATAAGATCTTGGAGTTTACGAACCAGTTAAGATCAAACTGGTATGCGACGCGATAGCAATTTGCAATACGGTTTCCATTCAGACGAAAATTATCGTCTTAACTGAATCAAAGTTAGGAGCAATCTAGTACGAATGAAAGGCATGTGCGCAGATTTCATGCTTGTTATGTGATGAAACCCATCGACCGTCACGGAGACAAACATTCTCCTGTTTATTCGCGATGAGGCAAAAGCAATCACTGGACAAAAAAATATCTATATGTAAAAGTTTATTGCATAACGTTTCGTACGTCTGTAATTGTTAGTGCTTATCTTCGTTTTGTGATATCAATGTGCCTAGTACATACGCCTCTCGTATTATATCGCTGATCACCGGTTGCGATGGAGCATTCGACAAGCAAGACAAATTTTTCCACGGAATATATTGTGCATTTTCATTTGCATCAGACGAAATAACATGATTTCTAAGAACAGTTATCTTAATAACCGGTGCATGCATTTTTGCTTTACAGAGCGTTAAACGTCTGAGCATGTTTGGAATATTCGTATTAGCGGCAGAAAAGTTTTTCGCCAACAACGTATCTATGTTACAACCGAGCCTCTGTTTCGAAACTATGCAACAGGAAACAAATTTTCTCCGTAATTTTGTGGTACGGTCAATTTACACGCGCGCAAACGTTCCCCGATGTTTCATCAGGAAGGCATTTATCCCTGTTACGGTGGTCGTAGGACAATCCACGCTTCGTTTACTGTATCCTTAACGCGTTATTCGAAAAACGTGGATCGACCTTTGACGCTGCAGGTAACTTTCACGAGTTACCACTATATGCAATTAATCAGTTTCCTACGTTTTTATATAGAGATGACGCTCCTCGATCGGCAAACCGGTCGTCGAAGTTGCGATTCGAGTTTTAGCAATGTTTCTCGTCCGATCGACACTTGTCGCGGGGCTCGTCGTTTCTGAATATTTCAGACCCTTCCATTTCCTGTTTCGTGCTGTCACGGAATTGTACGTGCCACGAAGAACGTCACCGATGGATTCTCGAGAAGAACGCACAATGTGCAATGACGTCAATCGACGAAAGGAATCGATTGAATTTTCCATATTCATTTCCTATGACCAAAAATATATCAATCGTATGGAATTCGAATACCGATACTACTTTTGCAAACGTACGTAATACAAGGAACTGTGTGTTGCGATACCACACCATTAGGTCGTTGACCAGAAATTTATGTAAGCCGAACAGTTTGTTGCGAAGCAAGCCTAAAAACGTCTGGTATTTCTTTCGTTTTCAGTAGAGAAAGGAATATTTCGTGCCATTACGAAACGATTAGTCGATCGTGAGATTACTTTGTATAAAAGTCGAAATTCATTTCGATGCGAAAGTTTCGACCGATCTCTAAAAAACTTTTGATTCGTTTTTCAGGAGAAGTGTCGTGGTCAACGACAGAGGAACCCTTTACGCCCGAAGAGGAGGATGCGATAGTGACGCTGGTGGTAGTGGTGATCGGCATAATCGCGGCTATAGTGATACTGTTCTCCATGGGAATCTTTATCGACTGCAAGCTCCAGTATGTGTAAAAAAACATCAGAGGTCCCTTTCGAACTGAGAGGTAACAGCTGATCGCTTGTTTTGTTACAGAAAGAAGAACGTTTTGAAGAAAAAGAAGTTGAAACTGAAAATGCCACCATTGTCTCGCGCGAGGAAGATTCAAAAAGAGGACACGAAATCCTTGGCATCGGACATGTGCCCGAACGGCTCTAGCGACGTTGGTTTTCGTGCAAGGGATGCTATTGTTTGACGTCGCCCACGATACTGTGAACCCTTCGCGCGAACGAGACCAGGAACGTTGGTGAATTTCATCGAATTTCTTTGCCAAGTTGAAAGGAAGTGGTTTCTAGATAACGTTAAAGAAACTGGCAAAGCAAATTGCTCGAACACGGTTCAGCCGTGATAACGCGAAGAGAAGCAGTAGTTCGCGTCAATGGCCTCGACCTAATAATGGACACAATCGTGCTAGCAATATACATATGGCGGCGAAACTTTGTAAAATGGTACATCACGAAGAAATTCTTTCCTTTTCTCTATTCTTTTACCAGAGATTAGCGCGATTCGCGCAACTGTGATTCACCTATTCCTATTTATTCTACAAGTCATTCAAATCTCTCGATCGCATCGATCGTATATATCGTTAGTCGAAAGACTTTCTAATTCTCAGGTGACGAAAATGTTTAATAATGCGATCATGAACCCAAACTTCAACCACTGCTCGAACAACAATAATGATAATAATGGATATTTACAAACCGCCTGTTGCGAACGAACGCGTACGTATACTTGTGTACACGTTTACGAAAACAGCTGTCTCTATAACAGCGAATCGATCCGAATCCGATACAAGAAATTTTGTTATTCCTGCAACGTTAAACATCCCTTTACTATATTTCGGAGAATTTGGGGAAATGCCGAAATTTGCAACGTCTAGTTTTAGTAGAGCAACAATTACATCGCAACTCCTTTGCTGAAACGTCAAGGATTCGTGACACGATTACGAAGGTGAAAAAAAGAAAAACTGCTGATATTAATGCGAAACGTGTCTGATCGTGCGTGTTCAGTAGATGAACGTGTTGGCGCCCCAGATACTTTTCGATCAAAGCCTCGTATTATTTTCAGACGAGTATCTATTTATAGGCATATCATATGTACATGTAGATACGAGGAACAATGTATATAAATTGGTATTATTCAAAAATAAAAAATTTTATTACCTTTCACCCGCGCGGCTTCTTACGTCCATCCGTAAAGAAACGAGGTGGGAATTGCATCCTGTGATGTATAATCAATTAATTATTCGAAAATTGCAGTATTTAGCGATAAGATTTTATCAAAATATATTTATATAAAATTACGTGTCCATCGGATGTTTCATAAAAATTCTTCTTTTATCGTGTAATTGAAACGAGTACAAAGTTTCGATCTGCAAACCGATGAAAAATATATCGTGCAACTGTGCTGCTTTATCACCGTCTATGATAAATTCCAGCTCCTTGTTCCTTTGATCCAAGATAAAAGAATGTACATGAATCAGTCTAACTGGAAATACGGTCAAGAATTTTGTTTTTTTCCTATCGTTTCTTCTTCTCTCGAAATCGGAACGGTCTTGACCCACAAGCCGTGTGTGTACGTACGCGTATGATTTAGGCTCTCTAGAAATCACGCGCGTCCAAGGACCATCGCCAATAGAGCCATTCGAACATAGACGCCGTTTTCAGCTTGCCGGAAATAAGCGGCACGGGGATCGGTATCGAACTCTGTGCTGATCTCGAAAACGCGGGGCAACGGATGCATCACGACCATCTTCCTCTTCGCTCGAGACATCAATTGTGGAGTGATTACGAAATGTCCGCAAACCTGCAACGCGCAAATATTTAACAGCGGTATTATTCCCCACTGTTTCGAATAAATATTTTTTATGCATCGTAAGACATCTTCCTTCACTTAGTTCGCAGCAATATTTACCGGAGAACAAAGCTAATACGATTCAATTATCTCCAGCTATTTTCATAAGTGCGTTTATATCGATATCGAGGCCTTGCTTGAGGTCACGCGTATCTCTAATTAATCACTCGCATGGTAATAAGCACCGAGCGCATCATTCAAGCCGTTTCAAGTTCAATAGCGAACGAACCGAATAGAATTTGAATTTACCTGTCGATATTCCGCCTGAGTGGCGAAACGTTCTTTCTGAATGCGCGTCATGTAAAGAACGTCTGTGTCGGGAAGAGCCTCCTCGAGTGTGTTAAACTTTTCCTGTGGGATTCCACGCTCGGACACGTATTTTACCACATGGTCAGGCATGCCAAGTCCAGGAGGACAAACGTACCGAAGTTCCACGTTGTACAAAGTCAATAGCCTGTAACACGACGTCTATGCGAATAAAATAAAAAGTACACGATTTGGCACAAAATTACCTTGCCAAGGAATGGACGGTTCTACCGTGCTTAAGGTCCCCGACCATGGTGATGGTGAGACCGTTCACTGTACCAATTTCATCTCTGATGGTAAAGATGTCGAGCATCGCTTGAGTTGGGTGCTCGCCGACACCATCGCCGGCATTGAGTAACGGCTTTCTACAATGCTGCGCGGCTCTCTGAACCAACGATGGAACAGATAACGATAAGCGTGCTTATTTTGGACCTTCCGCGTAACCTGAAAAAAATGAACCACTCACCGATACCGCACCCGGTTCAGGGTGACGAAGAACCACTACGTCCGCGTACCCAGCCATCACTGCGACCGAATCTGTAATCCACATTGAAAACGTTTCGATCCATTCAATTTCAGTTATTTTCGTTGACAGCTCGAACGCTTAACGAGATTTCAAACCTTCTAAAGTCTCCCCTTTTTTCACAGACGACGTAGTACCGTCCATGGATATCACACGACCGCCGAGCCGTTCCATCGCCGCGGCAAAACTGCAAGAAGTTCTGGTACTGACTTCGTAAAAGATCGATGCCATCACTTTTCCCTATTTGCAAACGAGACCGAATATTGCGAATGCTTTCCCTTCCCGCAGAATCAACAGCGAATGTTCTTACCCGTAAAATATGGTCCAAAGATCGTTCTTTCCTAACAGCACTGCGAAGCATTTCGGCGAGATTAAATACGTCCTTTAACGATTCTTTCGTGAAAATGTCTACGGACAATATGTTGTGTCCGACCAGGTTGTGGCTAATGTGAACAGGGGGAACAGAGGGAACAGGTGTCACGGTCGTCAGGAGGAGATTGGGATTGCTGTCGCTTTTGTACCTAGTCGCGTTGCTAATGGGAAGCGGTGAAATGTTGCGTTGTAACGTTGGAACTTTTGTCTGTTCCCGAGATTCTACGTCCACGGAAAAGTGAACGTTTGATTTCTGTGATGGTTGCAAAAGCTGCGCGTACGAATCTGAAAAGAAGAGCAAACTTATTCGATCTTTTAAATTGAAAGAAAGAAAGCACCTTGATCGGTGACAGTTTTCGTACCATTTTGCTCTTCTTCGGTTATGTCGCAATTCGGTGACAACAGACCGTCCAAAGCAGAATTCGGCCGGCTAACAACAACGTCGAGGATCGGTGCAGTAGTCGCAATTAGATGTTTCGTTTTAGCTTGAATTTCTCTGATATCTTGACCAAAGCCAGGATTTACCAAAACTTGCCCTTCGACGTAAGCGACCTCCCCTCGAAGTACCACCCTGTGCACCGATCCTCGAACTTTCATCCCAGCGAACGGAGTCCACTTTGATTTGCTAAAAGGCATCGCGTCCGGAATTACCCATTCGTCGTCGAGATCAACCTCGATATAGGTATTTGGCTGATCCGGTACGTTAAAGATCTTCTTCGGATTTCTGTACAGCTTGTCCACCACGTCCTGAAAACGTAAGCGTACAAGATATTAGTGAACGAAACGAAATACACGTGGATCGTCGTAACTACCTCTATCGTCATCTTTCCCTCGTGAACCGCGGTCAATAAAAGTGGAAGCATGGTTTCGAGTCCAGGAAATCCTGGCGGTGGAGTCTCGCTGCATTTCTCTTGTACCGTGTGCGGTGCTTGAACGTTGAAACACAAGGTACGGTAATGAATCTATCGTATTGAAAAATTTTCATCTTTGTACGTGAAAATCCAGCAGCAGTATTTACCGTGATCTGTGGCGAAGCAATCGATCACATCTAAATTTTCCCAGAGAGCTTGCTGATCCTCCCTGGTTCCCAATACTGGCCTCACTTGACCCCGTCCGTGTCCTATTCGCTCAAGATCATCCTCGCACAGGAATAAATGATGAGGGCATACTTCGCAGGTGACGGCCATTCCCTGAAGGAAACGCGTACGCGTATTGAATTACTCGAGAAAAGATCGGCTTTTAAGAGGATTTGCAACGAGTAGGATACCTTCTCCTTAGCAGCGCGTATAATTTGGATCTCTTCTTTTCGAGCTACGTGACACACGTGAATGGGTCTGTTGTGCAAGCCGGCCAGAAGAAGAATCGCAGCCGTGGTCTGACCCTCGGCGTGTACGCAAAGAGGGTACCGTTTTGGCCAACTTTGAAAATGCTGAAATAAACTCGTTCCATGAATGATATTTGATAAAACGTGACAACTTTTCGAGGTATTTCGTTTCTCAAATCATTATCACGGTTTACGGTAAATAAGATTTTTATTTGATCAACCGTGTTTACGATGGGTTTACCTTTATCCATATTGTTAAATCGGTCAATCGAAGTGTCGTAAAGGTTTCATTGAGATACATCTTGAGACCCGCTGTCAACGGAGCCAGCTCGGCCGTTATACTGTAATTATCCGACGAAGCGCCGATATAAATTGCGTAATCGCATCTCGCACTGGAGAGAGCACGCTATAATGAGAAAAAAGTAAAGAGAAGAGAGATAAGAGAATGGTTGTAAAGGGAAGCTTCGCAATTGCTTTCTTACTTCCTTGGCCAGGGCGAAAGACTGATGATCGACGACAGCAGGGTAGGTGTTGGGCATTGCAAAGATTACCGTGATGCCTCCGGCGAGCGCAGCCGCGGTACAAGAAGCAAAATCTTCCTTGTAAACTGTTCCAGGATCGCGGGTGTGCACGTGAACGTCGATCAAGCCAGGAAGCTTGATCATCGTTCGCGAAGACATGCAATCTGTGTGAGTTTTCATACGGGGTGCTCGACCGCCAAGCATTCTCATAGCCTGTGGAAGATGTTAGAATACGTAGTTCAATTTATTGGGATGAAAAATGGATAGCCACGCACGTGTCGACCCGTGAGTGGCGAAATAAGTTGATAAAAATATCTTGGGCAATCATCGAGATACGAAGAAAATGTTGCATGGCGTCGCGCGGTAAAAATGTAAACAAGACTATAACGTGGGCGTCTCGGAAAATCTATTATCTAGAAACATTGGGAAAATTCTCTTACAAGGGGAACTACCCAAGTGTTACACTCACTTATTAATGAAACTTTGCCAGGTTGTAGAGCTGGTCGAGCTGAACACGCCTATACCCCCTTTTGGGGGCAGACGGGTAATTGTGTAAAAGATATTAACAATTACAGTTAGTTACACCTTACATTCTGAAGTATGACAAATTCACAAATACAATTCGCAATCTAGAGATCCATGGTTCAAATCCTTGGTTTCCAACATTTTTTTTTTTTTAATGATAATTTGTCTCTTTTTGAATAACTATTACATAAAAATTATTATTAAAAAAAAAAAAAAAAGAAAAAAAAAGAAAATGGGAACCCAGGATTTGAACCGAGGACCTTTAGATTGCAAGCCATGGATCCGCTCCGTAGTTAAACACATGACTCGCAATCTAAAGGTCCTCGGTTCAAATCCTCGGTTCCAAAAAAAAATTTTTTTTTTTATGATAATTTTTATGTAATAGTTATACAATAAGGGACAAATTATCATTAAAAAAAAAAAAAAAAAATGTTGGGAACCAAGGATTTGAACCGTGGATCTCTAGATTGCGAGTTGTATGTGTAAGTTTGTCATACTTCAGAATGTAAGGAGTAACTAACTGTAATTGTTAATATCTTTTAAACAATTAGCTGTCTGCCCCCAAGAGGGGGTATAGGCGTGTTCAGCTCGACGAGCTCTACAAGCTGACAAAGTTTCATTAATAAGTGAGTGTAACACTTGAGTAATTCTCCGTATTAGATATTTTTAACGAACTTTGTAACTTCAATTTGCGATTGTTTCTATGACCAACGTATCCACACATATTTCATGATAACAGAACAATACGTAAAACGATTACTAATCTAGAGGATGATTAATGAAATTGCAAGGCGACGAGTAAGCTTCCGAACGATTTCTAGAAAAATTACACGTGTTACTCACTTCGACGAGCAATTTGGCACATTTAACGTCTGTGATTAGAGGAACGGAATAATCGACCGCGAGCCTTCTGGTGCGATATCCGTGCGTCATAAAATTCGAGACTCGCCGTGCACCGCCGTTCCGCATTGGCAAATTAATTACAAGATCAAATTGCTTTTTGGAAAGGAAATCAGCCAAATGTCGTAGTTCGCTCGGGCTGGAATCTTCGTTCACGCTGATATTCTCGAAGGTCCATTGCGCTGGTTCTACCTGTACATTGAAAATATTCGTTCACCGAACATTAGTTTTCGTTAAACCAATCGTTTCGTTTCAACACATTATCTAGCACCGAAAGATTGGGCCATTATCATTTTTTGATGTACTTATCATATCGAACGTTGTACGCCCTCGGATAATAGAGCCTAGTGTATCTTTTCGATGATATCTTAAAACGAGTAATTTTATAAATCCATATCTGAAGTGATAAACGCAACTCTACTTACAAATTAATATTTACAAACTGCATTGGAATTTACGGAAGGACTTTACCTACTCCTTAAAAGATACCTATTCATTATATTACATAGGAATTCATTTGCAATTATATCGAATAGCAACATTGTTTAACGTTAAGATTAGATACAGATCAATTTTTTTTTTAACGTGATCTTATCTGTGACATCAACTCGAGCATCGATTACAGTTACAATAATGAAATAACTCTAGGACAGTCATAATGCGGTACTGTAACTCTCTCGAATCGTATTGCCTGTACGAGAGTGAACCACGAAATGTGATATCCTCGAGAATTTGTTTTAAACGATTTTTAATTCGTCGAGAGGGAAGACTTCAACTAACGAAGACCTTGAGAAACGTTATCGTAATTTGATCGAGGAGTAGTAATCCTAACATGAAAACTCTTCATGGATAACCGATAGCCGATAGTCGACATTCTGGCTTGTGGCTCGATAACGATAGGTAAGTATTTATCGAGCTGCAGTACGCTGTGACTGGGTTATTGTCTTGTCGATCAACGCATACGTGTCATTTCGTGCTTGCACGCGTCATGTTCGCGTGCTTTGATTGCTCGTTACGATTATCAACGAGTCAAATTTTTTCGCGGGATAGTGGAAGTTGACAGGCGATACTCGAACGGTGCGAATAGTTTTTAGAAAAAACGTTTCGGACGAACAAGAGATCGGACATGGGGAATTCAAAGTCGAAAAGTAAGAACGGTGCACGAGGGAAAATTCGCGGAAAAGCTGGACGTGACAGTCAGCCTGGAGGTGGCAAGTATCCAGGAAATCGAAACGACGAATACGAAGACACGGAACTGTTGTTACTGAGAAGAGCCATCGAAAGGGATCCGGAAAGTTTCGTACTAAACAATCTGATGATGTGTGTTCAGTTTTTCGGCAATTACGAAGAGTAAGATATCGTTTTTCTTTTTCACTGTGTTCTCCATTAAATCGTTTGCACAATTTACGCTATCACCAATATTTATACTGCCACGCATGTAGATATTACGATAAAACGCTTTTATCGCAATTAACGAAAAAAGAATTTCTTAGAGAAATCAAGCACGTGAAGGAAACGCTGGTCTCGTCGCAGGAGGCTAAATTGAACAAACGTCTACCACCACAGAAACACGTTCTACTTCCAGACGTTCTTCAAGAACACATCTCGCGAAATGTCGGTTTTACCTCGACCAGGCAAACTTTTCGACCGACCGTCGAACCACTTCATCCGGTTCGAATTTATACAGTCCACGATAACATCGATATTATCGAACAGAATTATTCGTCACACTACAGTAGCGTGAACGATTCGACCATGTACAATATTCTGTTGAAACCGACGGCTCATCAAGGTAAGTAAACATTCTCTAAACTATAGGGTATAACGCTTAATGTTACGATATACGATATTTCGTAATGTTAGGATACGTGCACCTCCAACTTTTGGACGAATTTGGAATGTCCAAGAGAAGAATGAACGATGACGAGATGGACTTATCGTCGATAGCGGAGAACGACGATGAATTTTACAGCGACGGTGAGAGCATTTACGGTCTGAAACTAGGACCGAACGCGTCCAACTATTCGATCCTACCCGATAGGTCCAAGCAAGCTGCGTCAAGAGGTTCTAACTACAGCATACACGCGAGATCCTTGCCGAATTTACACGAGGAGGAAATCGCAACGACTAGTGGACGCGATTTGTCTCATTCCAGTCGCAACGTGAAGGCCCAGACCGATTACGAGAACGACTCCTCGGCCGATGAACGGAGCTTGGGAAGCAAGAGAAACTTGTTCAAGGGAGAATTGACCAAACAAGGGAATCGACGGCCGGAAAAACAATCGTCGCAAACTAAAGTGCAAGAATTGTCGGGTCAAGAAATAACGACCAGTAGCAATAGTTCCGGTTATCGATCCGACAATTACACGATGGACAGCGACAGCAGTGGCAATCGCAGTCAAAATTTTAGTTTGTCTCAGAATTCGAACTACGAAGAGTTGGAAGAGTGGATAGCAAACGCTAAACTGCCGAATAACTGCTTCAAAAAGGTTACTTACACGGCCGATGGCAAACTTTTCGATCCAAAGGAAGAGAGGAAACAGCTAATAAACAGTAAACAGCGGAGGATCAAGCTGGCTCTGAGACGACACAACTATGATCTTCTTTACGTGAGCAGCACCGAATTCATGAAACACTTTATAAACGTTTTCGTGAATCGTTTGGCCGACTCGTTCGGCTTCGATAAGGAATCCGTGGATGACGCGAGACGAGAGGGTTGCGTTCTCTATTGCGACCAAATCATGGTTTCCAGCACGGTCAGATACAGTCGAGTCGAGCAGTATGAAATTATACCCGCGATTTGGTTGCAATGGCCCACCTGTGCTCAAGAATGGCTGGACAGACCGAGAAGTACCTGGCCCGACTACAATGACGTCGAAAAAATCAAAGACTTTGGATGTTTCGTGGTACCGGAGGGTTTTGTGCCGAAAAAAGGGAACAGCAGTATTATGGTGGACCTCGAATGGCAGCTCACTTTTCCAACTGCCGAACGATATCTTGAAACCTGTATGACTCAGTCTCAGGTACAGGTGTACTTCATCGCGTTGATGCTTCACAAGACTTTTATGAGGCCCGTTTTGGATACCATGTTCGGTATGACCGCCGCTCACATCAGGCACAGGTTGTTTTGGATGATCGAAGAGAACGACAGGCCATCGAAATGGCCCAACAATAGAATGGGAGAGTGTTTGTTATCCCTATTGAACTCGTTATATCATAGTATTAGCCAAAACGAGCCCACGCTCAGGGATTACTTCATCGCCGATAGGAATCTCTTTCAACGCGTACCTTGTGAACATTTGCTGCACACGCAGAAACAACTGAAACGCATCATCGAGAATCCGGTGATGTACGTTTTCCATGCGTTGGAGAACATTCGATACGGCGATAACTTTTTCCCTCGGCTAGATTTCGAGATGCTGTTGAAAATATTGACAGCGGACACGTTGACACTGGTCAACCCGGCGTTAGCTCAACGTATCATAAAGCCAATGCCACGACCTAACGATTCAAACGCCGAGCAGGAGGACAAATATGGTAAAACAAAAGGATTTTGGGACAGTGTCAAAAATCAACCAAAAAAACATTCCGTTCAATCGGTTAACAATAGAACGTTAATTAATCCTCGCAAAGCTACGGATTCCATCATCGAAATTTCGGTAAGTATTATGACGAAATCGTGATAAAGCTGTTATCGCTTTGAAATATTTCAACCTAATTTACGCTCATAATCAGGTTTTAAACGATTCAGTCGATCTGCTATAAAATATTTTGATTAGTTTCATCGTTTCAATGAGAAGATGCGAGGCGATAGATAGAGATTATTTTATATCTCTACCTTAATAGTTTCTAATCTTATCTATGATACTTTGCCTGAGATCTACAATCTATTCGTTATGGATGTAGGATATATTATTTGTACGGAATATTACCGTGTACATCGATATGTAATGAAAGCTGATTAATTGGCTGTTACTTTTACAGACGCGGTGCGCGGAGCTCGAGGGTCCAAGGTTGTGCGTTCTGCTAGATTTCTTCGTAAGGCATTTTATCAAAATCGCTGAACGTTGTAATCAGTATCGAGCCTATGGACAGAAAGCCGCTTACCTCGATCACGCAGATCGATTATCCATTATACTTTTCGAACATCAAAGATTCAAAGAGGACGCTCGAGCTTATCGCGATAAGATCAAAGTTCTTAGAAGAAAGATTGGAAGATCAGAATCCCGAGACAATATTCCGGAAACGCCAAAAAGAAACCCAGAAACCGCCTTATACGTTGCATCGTTGAAAGATCGCTTCGTGCCTGAACCTCCGGAGAGGGTTTACTCTTCGCCACGAAACAGTGATGCACCGCAATCGGATCAGACGACCGATCGTGTTCAAAATGTTACCGAAGCGATAGTTCACGAAACGCATCATCAAGAAACGAAGGAAGAAACGTTCAACCTTAAGGACAAAACGATAACGCCGAATCCAGTGACGTTACGAAAAAGTTCGAGCGATGAAAGTGAAATTTATGAATCAAAAAATGACAATAAATCGGTGCTTATTACACTGCCCGAAGTCCCGGAAAACGACTCCACGTACATTTAAAAATATATTGGAAGAAAATCAAATCGAAAACTAAACCGAAACATTCGACCAATCTTTGGTCGTTCATTCATTAATAAATTTCTCATACTTTAGAAAATCGTTTGTAATTTATTGTTACTTTAGCATTATTTATATCGTATTTGATCAAACAACAACGTGTTTCTCACTGCCAAGACTAATAAGACGACAAGAAACTGTACACTTAAACTATTAGTTGCGCGCTAAGTTGTCGAAAACCTTTTAAATAAGCTGTAGTTTGTATGTAAATATTTAAATATACAGATATGTCACATTTATTTAAAGAGTATTCAATTCCCAAAATTCCACTTACCTCCACCCCGTGTTCGGTATAGAAATCTGCTGTTCCCATGCTGGCGTATAATTTGTATCCCATTTTATGGAGACTTTGAATCGACGGTAGCAATTCCATTTTGTGCTGTGAAAACATTTCTACTAAAGTGCAAAAGTTGCGACGAAATATCTCGACCAAAAGAATATTACCTTGAAACTTCCTATGGAAAGTAAAATTCCCTTTTGCGGTATATGAAAGCCGGTGCTCATCGTTCCTTTCAAGTAAGCCTCGTACCGATTGTCACCGAAACAAGCAACTTCCCCGGTGGACACCATCTCCACGCCCAACATTACATCCGCCCCTACTCGTTCAATGACAAATTATAAATTATATTCTTTAACGGATAGTTGTTTCGGAGTGAAAATCGTTTTCGAACGCGTGTTTTTACCGGCAAGGCGCGAGAAGGAAAATTGCGGAACTTTAACACCGACTTTGCCGCATCCGGCGAGAACGTCAACTGGTTCGACGGATTCTCCGACAATCAGTCGCGTGGCCATAGCTACGAAATCGTGGTCCAAGGTTTTCGAGACGAAAGGAAACGATCTAGATACCCTGACGTTACACTCGATGACTTTTAGTTCGTTGTCCTGTTAAAAAAGAAACTGATTATTCGAAGAGATGAAAAAAGACCACGTTCTCCTGTGCCATTCTTAATTACCTTCGCTATCAGTTGCATGTTGAAGGGACCAGTTACCCCGAGGGAGGCAGCAATTGCCTTTGACATCATTTTTATTTTCGCTAACGTTTCAGCATTGATGTCCTGTGGTGGAGTAACGAGGGTAGCATCACCCGAATGCACACCCGCGTTCTCCACGTGTTCCGACACCGCCATACACAGAATTACCCCGTCATAGGCAACCGCGTCCACGTCTATCTCCTTCGCTTCGAGGATAAACTTCGAGATGACTACTGGGTGCTCTTTGTTCACCTCGCTGGCGCTTTTCAAATACGACTCTAGATCGTGGTTCGAATGGGCCACGTTCATCGCGGCTCCGCTCAACACGTACGATGGACGCACCAAGCAAGGATAGCCCACTTCGTCGCAGAACTCGATAGCGGACTTCAAGTTCGTCAATTCTTTCCACCTACCCGTCGATCGTATTTTTGTAACAAGATATACTTTAACACAGTCGGTGTTCTCATACTCACCTGGGTTGGGATATCCCTATACCGTCCAACATGCGGGAAAATTTAAACCGATTTTCAGCTCCGTCCACAGACTCTGGTGAAGTTCCAAGAATTCTGGCTTGCTGCCTGTGGAGATCCATAGCGATGTTGTTCGGTAATTGACCGCCCATCGAAAGAATTATTCCCTCCGGGCATTCGTGGTCATAAATGTCCATCACCACTTCAAACGATATTTCCTCGAAGTACAATCGATCGCTCATATCGTAGTCGGTACTGACCGTTTCTGGGTTGTAATTGATCATGATCGTTTTCCTTCCTAAATTTCGCAACTCGCGCAGGCAACTCACGGCACACCAATCGAATTCCACCGAACTGCCGATTCGATAAACGCCAGAACCTGCGGAAACAGAATTCAAATTTTTTAAATATAAAATAAATTAGTAGCTAAGCATTTCGGTACCGTCAACTTGCCTATCACCATTGTGTATCCGCCAGGAAAATCTACGTCGTGCGTAGTTCCATTGTACGTTATATAAAGATAATTTGTTGTCGCTGGCCACTCTGCAGCCACCGTGTCTATTTGCTTCACCATCGGTCGTATATTGCTCTCTTGCCTTTGTATTCTAACAGCTAATTCCGAGCTCTTTACAGCCGCTGCGATTTGCTTGTCTGAAAATCCAATCCGTTTCGCGCCCAGCAAAACATCGTGAGACAATTTTGTGTGGTCGGTGTTCTCCAGTACCACATAATAGTCAATAATATTTTTCATCTTATGCAAGAACCATCGATCTATCTTTGTCAATTCGTATAATCGATCGATCGTGTATCCAGCCTTGATCGAAGCAGCGAGAACGAACATTCTCTTGTCAGTTGGCTTTTCCAATTCCTCGTCGTTCGGAGTTTTCACATACGGATCGAAACCAGTAATATTCTCGTCCACCATCCTCAGAGCTTTCTGAAAGGCTTCCTCGAACTTGCGCCCGATCGCCATCACTTCTCCTACGCTTTTCATAGAGCTACCAATCTGAAATTAACGAGACGACCGATATTCATCGCGTTTCCCGATGATCTACAATCGCGAATCCTACGTACCTTCGTGCTGACTCGTTGAAATTTCCCCAAGTCCCATCTTGGAATCTTGACCACGCAATAATCAAGACTAGGCTCAAAGCAAGCCGTTGTTTTTCCTGTCACGCTATTATGAATATCAGGTAGGCGAATACCAAGTGCCAACTTGGCGGCCACGTAAGCTAACGGGTAACCGGTCGCTTTACTCGCCAAAGCCGAGCTTCGAGACAATCTTGCGTTTACTTCGATGATATAATATTCTGCGGTGTTCGGATTCAACGCGTATTGAATGTTACACTCGCCAATGATGCCGAAATGTCTAATGACGTTGATGGCAGTGGTCCGAAGCATATTGTACTCTTTATTCGACAAAGTCTGGCTCGGTGCAATAACGATCGACTCACCGGTGTGAATACCGAGAGGATCGACGTTCTCCATGTTGCATACTGTGATGCAATTATCATACGCGTCTCGAACCACTTCGTACTCGACTTCTTTCCAACCCTTCAACGATTTATCGATGATCAGCTGGTTAGAGTGAGCAAAAGCTTGCTGGGCCAGAGTGCACAACTCTTCCTTGGTATTAGCGAAGAACGAACCCAAACCTCCGAGGGAAAACGCAGCTCTAGCCATCACGGGGTAGCCTAGTTTTCCAGCTGCGTCCAGTGCCTGTGGATAAGAGTTGATAATACGTCAATATCTCATAATTATTTATAAAAAGACATTCCCCACGGAACTGCTTACCTCTTGAATAGAGTACACCGCGGCACTCGGTGCTACTTTTTCATTTATCTGAGCGATGCGTTCGGCGAACAGCTTTCTATCCTCGGTTTCTATCACCGATTGTATAGGTGTTCCTAGAATTTTTACGTTGTACTTTTCGAAAACACCAGTTTTCTCGAGCTCGACGCCGCAATTGAGAGCAGTTTGTCCGCCAAATGTTAACAGCACACCGTCGGGACGTTCCGATCGTATCACCTGTTCCACGTATTCAGGTATAATCGGCAGAAAGTAGACTTTATCGGCCATGCCTTTGGTCGTTTGTACGGTCGCGATGTTCGGATTGATCAGAAGGGTTTGCACGCATTCTTCTTTCAAAGCCTTGATCGCTTGCGATCCAGAGTAGTCGAACTCGCCTGCCTGGCCGATGCTCAGACCGCCCGATCCCAAAATTAACACCTTCTTCGGCCGGATGACCATGTTATCCGGCTGCTCCGTGCGGAACCTCAATTTTTTATTCAATCTCTCTTTCATCGAGATCTCCGTTACACCCTTCGTTTCGTCCTTCACGGCGTCCAAGAACACGTCGAACAAGCATTCTAAATCTTGGGGACCGGCAGTGTGCTCGGGATGAAATTGAACGGAAAAATAAGGCATAGTAGAATGCACAATGCCTTCGTTGCTTTTGTCATTCGTGTTAGTGAAGAGTGCCTCCCAATTCTCTGGCAACTGACTCGCGTCGACCGCAAACCCATGGTTTTGCGAGGTCATGAAACAACGACCGGTTCCGTGATGTGTAACTGGTTGATTGTGGCCACGATTTCCGTAACTGTGCGCATAAGTACGTAATTTTGAACAGTTACATCAATGGGTGTAAGCTTATGAAAAAACAACGATGCCTACCTCATCTTGTACGTTAAACAACCGGCAGCGATGCAGAGCAACTGATGACCAAGGCAAATACCGAAGATCGGTTTCTTTGGTCGTTGTTCAAGAACGGATCGAATGTTCGCCACCGTTGCATTACATTTGCTCGGATCACCCGGTCCATTGCTCAGGAATAAGCCATCGTATTTCAGCTTACTCACGTCGCAATCCCACGGCACGACATCCACGCGAGCACCTCGACTAATCAAGCACCTCAATTGATTGTACTTTAGACCGCAGTCTATAACGCATATACGAGGAGAACCGCTGGGATTATACGTTCTTTGTACGCTCTGAAATTGGAAGTAGAATAAATCAGAGTTACAATACGATGAACGCGATCGAAATAGATTTGATCGTCCGGCACCTGCGACACTTCCGCAACGAGATTCCTCTTGTTCGGATCCGTTATAGGTGGATCCAGAGGGAGAGAATTTACAACTGGTTGATCGAAAACGATTCTACCCAATATACTACCCTTTTCGCGAATAATTTTCGTCAATGCTCTTGTGTCGATTTCGTATATTCCGGGAATATTTTGTTCCTTCATCCATTCGGACAGCGTTCTCGTTTGCCGCCAATGACTCGGAGTTTCGCAGATCTCGCCGACCACCAGGCCAGCGGCCCAGATTCGATGAGATTCGAACCAACTGGAAAGAAATATGATAATTAAGATGACGTATAGATAACAATAAATACTGATATTTGATTTCTCGATGATAGCGTTTCTAATTCCTCGTTGCCTCGTAATCGTAAACGTTACTATCGTTTCGAAAGCTTACTATGGGATCTTATGTTCGTCCAGTTCGTTTCCAAACACGCCATAATTTCCAATCAGCGGATACGTGAGCACTAGAATTTGAGAATGGTAGGAAGGATCTGTAAGTGATTCCGGATAACCCACCATACCAGTCTGGAACACTGTAAAAATGCATCAGTGCAAACAACGTGTACGTGCGTGTATACACGTTACATGCACAATGTTTACGTAACTTTGAAACAGTAAATACAACGGTAGAACCTTAGATCATGAAAAGACTCGCTCCTATCTGCGTTTTAAGCTCGCGTTATATCATCGAAATAATTTTCACGAAATAACCGACTTAATTTCACGCGTTTAAATTCGAGATCTCGATGAAATTTCAAAAAGCTCATCAAAAACATATCAACGAGCTCGAATGATTGCCGGTTGAACGATAACCGACACGGTTTCGGGGAAGAAAACTGTCAGTGTATTTGTCCGATAGGCAAAGCTGTTTATTACAAGGGATTCATTAACGCATGGAAACTTTCGCAACCGGCGCTACCCGGCACAGAAACAAATTCATAAAACGACAGTGATAGTCGAGAATGAACGTGTTTCGAGCCCACGTGGCTAGTTGGTTGATTGCGCGTGCTCACGGAACACATTCATACAATTCTTTCCGAACACTCGAGCGTAATCAAGCATACCGGCTCGGAGCATTATCACAAGGAATAATGGTCGTGCTTATCGGGGATATTAATGGCCGGTTATTACTCGAATTCGATTAATCAGAGTGATTGGTAAGGTTCGTGGAAAGATCCATGCACGTGCGTCTGCTACCTGCGGCAACGCAATGGACGAGGAGCACGTGTTCCCCGAACACTCACCTATTTCACCATCGACCGGTTTCTCCGCGCCAAAATGCCTTCCCGGGAAGACGGAACCATCCTCGAGGACGAGGTAAACTTTCCTCGGTGTAACGTTAACAACCGCCGCATGGTCGTGCATTTTTCCCAAGCGATTAACGGCCCTTTCCACGAGCGTGTTCTCGACCCAGCGATCACTGCTTAGTCTATGGGTCGAGAACACGCTTTATACGATACAAGGAGGGTCGTTCGGAGCGCGGCTCCCACGAGGCTGCTCAATCTCATCCAAGCCTGCGCGTAGCGTTGCTAAACGCGGCTCCAGCCGATAGGTGCGCTGCTGCTACTTGCTCTTATGCGCACAACCGTCTGAGCACATCACGTGGGGAATAGTTTCGATACATTGGCTTTCCTTTAGAAACTAGCGATACTCAATCGCGCGCCATTTTACGATATTCGCTTTCCATTTCAACGAACACCAGATTTACCTGTGTTTCCTTTGAATCGCTTCAAAATCACCGCTCAAACGCGGATATCGACAGAGACGAGAATGGAACGGAGTTAGGAATCAATTACGAATGTTCGTCGTATTGGAAAAGAAACCTGGTCGATTTCAAATGTTTTTATTACCAAAAACAGATGAAAAATTATTATCGCGATCGTGGAGGCGAATACTCTTTATTACGCTGCTATTCGATGATGCGTCCACGAATCGGTCGAAGTATCCTTGCGATAAAGTAATCGATCACCTATTAGGTGATCCCTCGCGAAATAAAATTCCATCATCGTGGGTGATAACTTGTATCCAACGCTGAAAAAATCATGCAAATATAAAGAGCATCTGCGATCGCTGTCGCCCCGCGTGATTCTATGATCATACTGTACACCTACAAGTGATCTGGCATCGGTAGATCGTTATCGTTTTTATGAACCGAGTCTAATATCTTATCGTGTCTTTGTTTCAGTTCTTCCCAATTTACTTCGCGCCCTTGATGACACAAATGCGACCGAACTTTACAATACAACGGTTCCCTATCGTACAAATGTTGATACTCTTCTTTCATCAATCTCTTCATAGTACCTTCTACTCTCACCTGTGACGTTAAATCAATGATCAACTTAAATCGTCAATCCACTTTGCTACGTACCTGCCGTGTAATCTCCTGTTCTTGTTCATTCACGTAAAACCACAAATAACACATGGCAACCTGGGGAACGTTTTCCTAAAACGATCAAGATCGATCGATGAAGGGCCACTGTCGAAGCTATGGCGAGAAGGAGATTCGGGGACACTTACTATATTATCGACTTTCCTACTGCGACGATCCGTTACGATTACGAAGCCATCATTGTCAAACTCCCGAAGGACCACATTTCTCGCGGATACCTCGCAGTTCCTGAAATCAAACTCCAATGTGAAAGTTGCAAACATTGATCGACGATGCACCGACTTTGAAACAGTAGCCAAGCAACAGGCATCCGGCGCTCTGGGATTGTATCTTCGAGATTGATCGCGCCAAATTCTGAACAGTTCGACTGGATGTTCTATTTCTTCTTCGATTTTCGCCAAGTCCGACAGATCCAATCCCTGTTTCGACCCCTTGACACACCATGATTTTTGTAAAAGAGTCGGTTTAAAAACGCGTCGAGTACAATGAACTAACCGAATCATTAATGACGATAAATGACACAAATGTATTTAAGTTGCAAATTTTTTTAGGGCTATCACTGTGCGATCAAAAATATAAGCGTTATATTTCCACAAAATTCACGTTGTTTGTACAGTTGAAACGCGACACCTTTCAACATTGTCGAGAAGGAATACTATCGTAAAGTTACGTAATTCTACTTGGGTGTAAAAGCAAACGCGAAATAGTCGCAGGAATCGATTCGACGGAAACAATGCACCGACGTTAAGATGTTCTTACCATACTTTTCCCTCCGTTAAATCGACTGAACCCAGCGTGTCTACAACTCGTCGCGCGTTGTACCAGCGTTTTTGCTTAATCAACGGCTGGTACGCAAGCGTTCAGCATTTATTAAGTAACCCTACTCAAAACCTCCCACCATCCGTGCCGCACTCTACGCGCAAGTGTCCCTTCGTAACACCTCGAAACATGCGAATAGAATGTACCGGCTCTGTACGTCCGTACCTTCACTGTTCCTCGATCCATCTGAACTTGATGTAAGGTATCTCTACTTATATAACGACGAGGAACGAGGACGCGATTCGATGCAAACACGTTGTTTCTGACACGAGGAGAAAATACAATTCTTTAGAACTCGCTAAGTAAATCGTCCCCAATTCTTAAGCCTCCACGTTTTAATAAAACACTGTTCCTTACAAACGCAGGCAGGGATAAGTACGATGCACGTGCTATTTTACAATATTTACTTTTCACGTATTTTACAGCCGCGATAACGAATAATTAAACAAAGAAGAAACAGACGATGATATAAAAATTGTACGAAACGAACGACGATCCCATATCGTGTATCACAATCTCGATTTCAGTCCTAATCGATCTGACACTGTATCTCCGACCGATACGTTCCACCGAAAGTATAGCTTTATTTATTAAACATCTTAGATAAAACACTGTCATTCGATGGTGGATTTAATCCAAGCGATATTCGAGGCAATTTTATCGTACAAACGAGGCCTTTCGATACCGGCTTTCGAACAAGCTATTCGCCAACTACCGACACCCGTTAGAGCCCACCTACGGCCGTCCGATTGAAGGCACAACATAGGACTGCCGGCGACTTCTTCTTCCTGCGGACAGTAAATGACAATTAGATATTTCCTGCGTGGAAATCGAGTACAACTCGTACAAGCGACTTACGTTGCAATCGTCAGTGGAATAAGCTGGTTCGGTGCAAACGCTGTTCACAGACGCGATACTAATGTTTTCGCATTTCTCCATCGCGCTGTGCCTAAGCTGTACCCTCTGCAGCAGATCGCCTGATCAAGGAAAAGTTTATCTTCAGAAGAAGGGAAATGAACGGGTTAACGGTATCATCAGAAGAAAGGCAAAGACGAGAACCGTTCAGAAAGTCGTATTGTCCTGTGAAACTTGACGTCTAACGTTGCATCTATTAATATCGCTTCAAGGATATTCGCTATGATTCAAGTTGACGAGAAAGTTGTCACCGAGATTGTATAACTCGTCACATTCTAACATCCCTCTGTAAGGCCGATGCAACGCGTGGAAGAAGAGAGCGTGCAAGCGTAAACGAAACTCGTAATTCTTATATAACGGACAGTAGGATAACTAACAGCATTGATGTTTCGAGACACACTGTATTTGACGAGGCAAGGATCGCGTAATACGAATGGATCCCTACTCACGATTTCTAGCCCATCCGAGGGTGTTGCATTGGGACGCGTTCACCGGAGGATCTTGATTCGAGGGCAGGCAAACGGGCCTCACGAAATCCGAAAAGGTGGTCACAGGTCGGTCCAGCTTCAGCAGAACCGTCGTGCTTCCTTCCACGGGTGATTTAATCATGCCCACGATCCTACGTTCCTGTTGCCAGGGTGAGGTACTCGAGAGTCGAACAGTGCCCATTCTCGCGGACCATTCCGCCTTCGGTTGACTGTAATTACGTGTTATCATCGAACGAAAATCATTCGTGGTAACGTAACGCGAGGGATACTCACCCTTGGAAACACGAGGCTGTGGTGACCAACCAATTTTCCGCCACGAGAGTGGCATCGCACACGTGTACCTCTTCCTTAAAAAGCGCCACGTGCCAGGGCCAGTCTCCTGGCTCGGCCATCTTATTCAGACCTCGGGTGCTACCCTTTCCGCGTAAGGGTTGTACCCCACATTCTAAACATAAATCACGTTTCGATGATTCTTGTGGAAACGAGTTACGAGTCCTCGAACGTTTCCCTTACCGAGTTCGGCACACTGGACGTACATAACTTCTTTGCTCGGACAAGGCGCCCTGACGAACGTGATTTCCGTGGCCGATGGATCCTCCATGTGCACGTACTGAACGTCGTCCTCGTCGTCGATTCGAATCTCTACGGATTTCACACCCCTACCCCAAACAAACTCGCGTGTAAAGTAACGTCCGCGTTCTCCTTTCTCGCGAACGAAATACAATGTACTCACGTGTACGTCAATAAACTGCACAGCGAACTAGCGGCAGTTTGAATAACGTCGTCTATTTCCGTTCCTGGCAGCGTGGCGTTGAGATTTTCGGTACACAGCTTACCGACAGTACCTTTCTCGTTGAACATCACGAACCCTTCGCTGTTGTACTTCGCGGCGTGCGGAGTATCCGCGGGTTGAGCTTTTACTGCTCGAATACTTGGCGCCAATGACACTAGACGGTACAATAGGAATACGTAAAGAGCAATCACGTAAAGAGAATACGTGAATCGCGTGGCTCGTAACAATCGAACGATACTCACGACAATCTTTTTCGTCGCTGCCGTTGGTACAGTCCACCTTTCCATCGCATCTTTTACTACGCGGAATGCAAGTTCTACCTACACCACAGTGCATATAACCGTCGCGACAGTACGCGCAATTCTTCTCGTCGGAAAGGTCAGGGCAGTCGATCACGCCGTCGCAAATTCTCGGCGACAATGCTTTCGCTTGAAGCGCTTGTACGCACCCTAAGACAATCCGTACCTGTTAATTGCAAGAACTCCTCACGCGATCTGGTTTCGGCCCTACCTGGTTTCGCTCGGCAGCCACCTTGGTCCGCGTACTCTGGAAAGTTTGAGCAGTCCAATAACCGCTTGATTCGGTCCGGTAGTCTGCTACCACATCCGTTCCAGAATTCTCTGCAGAAACTTCTGCACGGTAAATGTAGCAAATCTTCCGGTTGATTCGGTACGCAAGCTGGTTGCAACACTTGGCACACAAAATCGTACGCCAATCGATAACATTCCGCATCGACCAATTCTCTGTAACAGCAGAAACGTTTTCGATATAAATTTCATTTCCTTCAATCAAGTGAAATTTATCAAAGCTTTACCTGAAAGCGATCACGTCATCCTCCACGTCAGCCAGCGAACGATGTCCCAATACGTTTGGATAAGAGGTAACGTTATATGGAAGATGTTTGCAATAAGACAAATCTAAATTGCTGCATCTTCTAGGAGGAGGCATCGTGGTCGTTGGCGGAGGCGTCGAAACGGTCGTTTGCATGCTAACTTGAGCGTTCAGAGCTTTCAAGCTCTCCTGAACTTCCAAACTTTGCGAATCTATCGTCAAGTTGGTCAAGTACTTTGAAGTTTCGTGATTTATCTCCCGCGATAGGATGTCCACGACGTCGGCAGTGGTAATGGTTTGGTAGCGTGGATCGAATCGAACTTCAAAGTGCACCACCAAATCGCCACCCTCGGATCTGTACAGTGGAATTGTAACAAACGATTCATATACCCATCAAAATTTCATCGACGTCGAGTTGCAGGTATTGGTGTAAAGGAAACGGCTTCGTCGTTTATCACGGTTAAAAGAACACGTGTCGTGAAATCATGGGAAAGCCGTTTAAAGATTGCCAGCAGACTCGCGAGGGTTTCTCTCGAGGGGAATCGGGGATAATTTCCGAAGCGACAGCTCCGCTTTCGACGATATCTCCCGCAGAGATTCCTCCGTTCAAGTTTCATTTATACCTTCTGCTCGTTAATTGTTCGATCGCTTACCCATCCAACGCTAACACCTCAGTGGCGAGGAAAGAGATCTTCATCCAGCTACGACGGAAGATAAGATTCAATCGATCGCGATACTCTCGAGATCGTATCCGAAAGGCCTCGGTAGAGGGATCCGCTAGTTCCGAAGCGAAAGAGTCTCCTTCGACAACACGGAATGTTGCCAAGAAAATCTGATCACCTGGGGGATCCGACGTTAGGAACGTGTCTGAAAAGAAATACACGATTATAATAATATTAATTAACGGATATTCCATGAACTCGGAAAAGAATGGATAACGAGATTTCACTCTACAATAATCGATCAATTTCCATGCTGTGAACTTCAGAGATACGATACGCGTTTCTAAATGATACTTTCTAATGTTCGATCGCGAACACTTCTCGAGCGTATCGTTCAGAAAATAACGGTGTAAGAAAAGACGATAGAAAATGTAATTGCATTTTCGACATCCTAGTTGATAAATGTAAACACAAGCTACAGAATCGGGGGCAATCGAGCACCTACAGCCGAGTCGGTTCACCTTTCACCGTGCCATTGGTTAATCATTTTTACACCGCAAACATTACTTTTTCGGTTCGTGATACAATTTCTTGCGGCTTGTAGATCTACTGCACGAGAAATTCTACTTGGTAGGATCGTCGATCGACTCGAGACCGGATCGCTTTTACTTCAAGGTATTTTAACGATCACGGCTCGTTTTCCCTTTTACCGTACACGAGAGGACACGATTCGACGAGAGAAGAAAGGAATGAAAAATAAAACGTAAATGAAAATGATTGACCGAGGCTGACGTATTGGCGATTCTTCGAGCGCGGGATACTTTCGAAATGGGAATTCGGTTAGTATGGTGAGGATCGAAATGATTCAAGGACACGAATCCCCCCTTTGAGGTCGAGAACGTTGGAGGGGTGACAGTCAGGATGGCTCGACAACTCGGTCAGACCGTTAACTCTACTACTTTCAAGGTCTCTTTGCTGGACCCCAATGCGATCCTGCATCCTCCGCGACCTTTGCTTCTCTTTCCCTGTGTAAATCATGAATTATAGTGTGAGCAGCCTCGCCACGAGCGTGTTCGCTTTCTTCTGCCTCGAAATAGAACTCACTTGCCGGTCGCTATAACTTTGAACGCAACGCGTTTATATGTTGCATGAACGAAACGTTTATGCGGAGTACGTAAAGGTGTTTTGTCGGTAACTCGGTCGAACCGTTATGTTTTGCACGCAGAAAGACCTCAATGAGCTCTGGCCGCATCCTTCTCCTCCGTTTCTTTTCTTCGAGAAGAATGCCGTATACGCGCCTATATAGGATTTTCTTCTTTTTTTTTTTATTTATTTAGGTTCATAGTAAATTCTTACTCTACATTCCAATTCACGCGTTGCTTTTTCAAAGGTGTCGTTGGCCGTCCAATATCTTTTATACGGGTCACGCACCGATGATCCCCTGTCCCTTCGCGTATAACTCTTCTTAACGAACCTCCTTAAATCTCCTCGTGTTTTATTCATCGTGTATTTGCATCAATTAGCCACGCAATCAAACGCAATTTCAATCTCAAGGTGAAGTACACGGGTTCGCGAAAGAAGAACCGATGTTCGTGAGAACAAAGGAACGCGTCGATCACACTTTACACTCCGCGGAACGTTCATGCACCGTGAACCGATCCGTCTCAGACAACGATCACGTTGTATTTCCAAGTAATTTCATGCCTGCCAGACCGTCGATCGTCGGTTAACCGTGGTGTAATTTCATTTGCGGCACGCCCGACAAAACGCGCATAAGTTCGCGGAGAAAGCGTTAGGAACGAGAAACGCTGAGCGCCCGTTCAAGTTCCTTGCCCCAGCGATCCTCGCTTCTACTTCGTACAGGGATAATTATTTAGAAAGATGGACGTTTGTTATACTTACAACCAAGGTATATGGAGACTCCCGAAAAGAGGAGAAAGAGCAAAAACGCAGCCAACACGCAGCATCCGCAACGATATTGTCCACCGAGTTTCCTCGTGAATCGAATATCGCTGTCCGACGAGAGGATCGAGCTCGGTGTTCCGGCACGGCTGAATCTTCTGGTGCTTACCGTGCTCACCGAGATCTGGAAAGAACATCGATAGTCGTAGATCTCCGATTGCAAAGCCAACGAAAGAAAGGTTGTCGAAGAAAGGTCGAGCTAAGCTTCGAGGAACGTCGAGAATCCTTCGCGTCCCTCCTTCTATTTCGCCGCTAGATTTGTTTAGGCACAAAAGAGCAAGCATTGCAGAGGTTTCTCGCCAGGGCACGATTCGTATTAAAGATCCCAGCAACGATTACATTGCTTCCGTCTTACGGTGGGAACGAAATTTGTTTCGAGATTCGACCTAATTAGCTGTTGCATCGATCCGCAACGATGCAAAGTTAAACACCTACGAGGATCCTTCGTACCTTGAAACGTTAAACGTTTCGCGATCAAAATTGCAAGGAGATCCGATCCGTGTAATTCTCGAAATGACGAGTTACGTAAGCGAGTTCCACGCGCTCTCGTTCGAGTTGCGTGCAATTTAGCGCGCGCATTCGGCTGAGAGTGCACTTAACAAGACAGCAAATAGTACACGATGCAAGATATAAAAGACATCGTGTACAGGCGCGAGTCAAACAACCGCGTTCAACGTCGCTTGCAACCAGCTTATTCTCTGTGACGTTCGCGTATCTAAGCGTGTAAGCGTCCGTGTAATCGTCTCGCCACCGATGCACATGCACCTTCGTTACCAACACAAAGGCAACCACTTGCTGCCGCGAATGCACGATGCGGTACAAACAGGCCTACGCCCTCGTTCAAATGTTACGCTCGGCACACGCTCCAAACCAAAGAACCAGTGAATCGTAGCCTTTCCTACCCGCCGCGAGTTTCGATTCTCCCTCCACGGCACGGTCAACTAAAGATTGTCGATCAGATTCGCGAAACCATAGACTAAAAGTCAAAGCGTAAGAAAATCAGCGAACGGAGAAATTTACGATACGCTTTAATCCGTGCTTCTTGTTCTTCCTTTCGTTTGCGATATAACTGCGTTCGATTACGTAAAAATTTCGCTTCGCGCCAACTCTTGTTCTCTTTCTCTCTGCGTCCGTTTCAATTTATTCCAATTCATCGTCGACCGATATTGCTTTGGAAGAAACTGCGAGTCATAGGATGGAACGAGGAGTAAAAGTGAATTCGCCAACATACGAGACTGCTATTTTACAAAAGTCAAGTTAATTTTCACCCCGATCGATGCAAAGAGCACATCGAGATCTGGTTGGTCGCGTATTACGCAAACCGATCGCGATTGAAACACAAGGGGTGTCTTTGGCGAACAATGGCGGCCAGGTGTGTTACGAAAGTCAAATGAAAGTTTGAACACGAAGCCTTTGTATTCCTCCAACCTAGTTCGATAATAGTCTTCGACCGGACTTTTCGTAGGAAATGCTCGTTTAATGAACCACGGTTATGCAATACGTCTATACCCTTTTTAATCGGTCGCGATAAATCGTGAAAGATACACGACCGCGAAATTATACGGTTGCAACGAAAATCGGGTTCGGTCTGCGCCGGTAAAAGTAATTCTTTCGTCGGCGATGCAACACGGTGAAAGGTCGACAGACCCGATATTTTCTTACAGGAAAAGCGGCAAGTTTCTGATGAAACGAGTTAGAAGACGACGATTGCGAAAGAAGGGAACAACTTGCCGTTTTCTTAAAACAGGAAATCTCGAAACGAATCGGTCGATTTCACGAGGATTTCTTTAACAGGACAGTAACAGACTGACGATGAAAAGTAGAATTCAATGTCGGTAAACGACGACGAAACCGGTGAAGATCGGTCGAAGAGATTAGAACGTGGTTGGACTAGTTTGGAGTTAGAAAATTCTTCCGTTAATGGACACGGTCAATGACTTTCAGGCGAAAGAAAATTAAAACTTGGCAGAGCATGCGTTAGAAAAGCGCTTTCCATCAATACCGCTTTCGCGAAAGTTTATTCGTTCTTCGAGTAGACTTTCCGTTTGTTCTATCGTTCTGCTACCGCTAGAACAGTTGAACCGTAACGACAGATCGTAAAAGCGATGCGTTCTTGGCCGATTTTAGCCGTCAGGCGTATCCGTGTTATACCCTTTTAGCGAGTTCCTCCGTCGCGTGCTTTTCACCCGCGAAAGATCGTTTGAATTTCTTCTTCTTCAGAAGAAGAATGGGCGTCGATCGCGGAAAGAAACGGTGTCAACGACCCACGGAAAGAATCTACCAAGTTTCATTGGCTCGCCCGGTTCCTCGTGACTTTCTTGACCGTTATTACCGTTACTCCAAACGTCGGACTACCTTTCCAAAAGAGTAAGAATCTAGGAACGAGTTTTGCTCGCCTTAACTTACAATCGGTTAGCGGTGCGCCATTATATAGATCGCGTGCGTGTACACTTATCGTAACACCGCCTCTTATCTATACTTTTCTCCAATTGCCAGAGACAATTACACTCGCCCGGGTCCTTTCTCTGCCTGGCAAACGCGTGTTTGAAAGTTCATTCCCGAATGAAATTGCAGACTGTCGTCAGAGAAGAGTAGAAGCGAAAGAAGGTGAATAGACTTCTAGAATTGAAATTTGACTCGATTTCGAGTAATCGCAAAGCACGCGATAAGTGTCATTCGATATAATTCGAGCGGAATACCAATCGCGTGATTGGGAGCTACTAGTGGAATAACGGTATGTCGAGAAGAGAGCAGATGACGGCCCAACCCAAGCTAACCCAACCCAGCTAACGCATCGTTTCTTGTTCCACGATCAACCTAGTTCCCTGTCGAGTGCGTAGGTATTCGGTATCGTACGCTATTCGGGGTCAATGGAGAACAAGGTCGACGCGTCTACGGAGAAATACGGCGAGCCGCTAGACCAACGAAATCAATGGACACGCGCGCCTTTCGTTTCTAACCGAATGGAACCGATAAAAAGGATAGTTTTCTTTAGGTCACGTTCTGGCATCACGCGTCACAGGTACCTTGTCGTTTGCGCAATTTATCGGTTGGAGGCTCGCCGCAGGACGTGCAAGTAATTTAGCTAATGATCGTGGCAACGCGACCGCAAAAAAATGAATCACGCAGCATCAGTTTACGATTTCCTTGCGGATCACCTTTACGCTGTTGCCTTTTCTGAAACAATTTGCCACCATCTTTCGAAAGTTTCTATTCCAAAGGGAAAAACAAGAAGAAGAAGAAGAATTAGAAATTGGGTGAGAAACAATAGACAGCTCTGTCGGCGTTCATCGTTTCTCATCGATTTTACGTTTTCTTCTGCGGCCGATTTCACACGGGGGCCAACCGGTTAATTAACCGCGAGACTCGAACGAGAAAAGATAACGAGGAAAACGTGTACACGGGGGGAAAGTGCGCCAGATTCGTCTCACCTTCGAATCCCACGAGCTCTTCCGCTTGTGTTCCATCGCGACAGTCATCTTCGAGCCGTTGAAACGATTTCTTTCTGCCCCATCAACGTTCCTTCGGTATGTTAGCCGCGTGAAGGCGCACGAACACCATCGCGAACCTGAATTTCGTGTCGGTCGTTGGTCTTTGTCGACGATCTCTAACACCGATTACGTCCAACAGTTTACCTCGAATACACTGCACTCGTCCAACGAATACACTCGACTATTTTATTCTCCTTCCTCGCCGACCAAATAATTCGTCCAACGAGACTTTAATTCCGCATACTTCCGCTTCCACTCGACTTCTCCCCTTATGCTTAAATTCGATGCGACTCGCTGCTCGATACCTGTGCAACAGAAAACAACAATTACATATATTCCAGGGACACCCGTACGTGCCTCGCGTCTTTTCGATGCGGAACGCAGTATCACATGTATTATCACGACAGAAAAAAATCATTCCACGAGACACAAAGTAACGCGATATCTCGAAACCTGATTCAAACGAAGCACTTGACACTGCTGCACTTAACGCGGTTCGATGAGTTTTAGTTTTCCCAACGCAACCCTCCGCCTTTCGAGATGTTCACCGATCCAAAAACGTTAATCTATGTGACCTATAAAAAATCCTATATTTCACTTTTTTCTTAACAAATTTTACCGATTCTCTCTCTGACACAAGACTGACAGAAATCGGTCAATCTATCGGTGGCTCGATTCAAACGAACCGTCGGAGATCAGAAAGTGAATTTGATTTTAAGAGGAATGAAAGACAGACGTTTCGATTTAAATACTGTTCTAGAGGAACAATTTCTCCGACGAAGTCTGTGTCGACTGCGAGGCAAAGAGATTGTCCTGGACGAAGAGAGACTGCCAGGGGAACGGAGACCCGCTTTGTAGATCGCTCCCTCGCTCCTGGATGCACTTTCACGTCATTACCGGTTCTCCAAGAGACACGACTCGACGCTATACAACGCGACGCGCCGCGACGCCTCGAGATGTATTGTCTCGACGTCGCGTCCCATACATCAAATTTCACCGAAAACTTTGATAACGTAATTACAGTGCCTCAGGGTACAAATAAAAATAAAAATCTCTGATTAGGTAACAAATATATGATTCGTAATTTTACAAGATTTTAAATTGGATGTAAGAGATGATGCGTACAATTGATATTCGCATCACGTTTCGAACGTACGAGTAACGAAATAAAGAAGAGAATGTTCGAGCAAAGAACACCTTCAGCTTTAACCTGTCTCGAGGAATTTGGCTGCAGCCGAAACCACTCGTTCGAGGTAACTTTTTCAAGGGTAACTAGTTTAATTCTGGATTCCATCGAATAAAGTTGCTACTAACTTTCCTATCCTCGGGACAACTGGTTGTCAATGAACTTACTATCTATATCGTGTATTACATTCGTTCGCGCAGAAAATTTAAAAAATACAGTTTATATCGATGAAAAATTTGAAAAAAAAAATAAAGCGAAGAGGATAAATAAAATTACATTTGATTAATTAAAGAAATATTCGATCTTTGACTTACCTCTCCTCTGCATAAGTATACCTCCGGTAGTTGGTCGACGTAGCTTTTTATTATTTACATCACTACAGCCGCTATTTTTTTTACAACATTTTATTTTAGTGTTTCGCGATATTCACTGAAATTTGTGCAGTATCACCGTTTCGTTTCACTTGGAGGATTATATTATTTTACTGTTAGATGACAGCTGTTGCTGTCGCACCGGAAGCGTTTCCCTGTTCGACTGGCGGGAACGTTAAGTTAGCCTTTCACACTTTACGAAGTAGCCAAGCTTTGCTCTCCTCAAGGCGATCCTCTTTCTTCGTGTCACAGAAAGAAATAACCGTTAAGTCGCGACAGCCGAACCTTCAGGTAGCGAGGTATACGCACGAATGTTCACCGCTCGACGGTCGAGTGCCGATTAATGACCTGGTAACGTTCCACGCGCCCTTCTCCGTCACAACATACAACATCCGCACCATCCATTCCATGTATACCGTTTACGGGCTATCCGACTAATTGTCTACATTTACATACATTACAACCATTTCTTCTTTCTTCTTTTTATTAACATACGACATAATCTCCTCTTTCTTCTCCGCGATATCTTCATTTTGTATCTTCGGTCCGTATCGAAGGGATCTTTATTCTTATTAGTTTTCTTCTGATTATCCCGCCAAATAAACGTGTCTTACTTTCTTCCCGATTCACCGGTGTGTTAATTAAAATTCTCAAGTCGCGTAAGATTTCACGCGTTTCCATATAGGTAAATTGGTATCGTTATCCAAGAAAGTAGTGTCGCGTTTAAATACCTTGTACGGTAGCTGAATCGTCGATGGACGATTCGAACGCTAGCTAATCAGTAGAAATCGTATGGGGAAATTCAGTGCGGACTGACTTGTACGGTTCGATGGTCGTATGTCGACGACCTCCTAAGAAGGAAAATACGGGTGAGAATAGAACGGCCAGCGCACGATTCGAGTACTTAATCGTTCAGTTTATTCGTATGGACAATTAAACGATACATATACATGGTGTGTACGAATTACGTGTCTCTTTCTTAGGTCTAATACATCGACAGCGATCGGAGGCGCATACAGGGCATCGAAAGACGCACGGTATCTCGCCACGATTGCGTAACTACGTTAATGATAATAATAAAAATTAAGTATAAACTACCCTGTAAAATACGTAATGCGAAAGTTCATTGATATTCGTTTATATTTATACGTGATTGTAATTCACCGATACTCGAGAATGATATTAATTTCGTAGTAATTTATATTTTTTATATATATATATATATAGTTTATATATACTTCACGTTTTCGTACCCTGTCTCTTTCGCGTAAAAACAAGCTTAAAGTTGCTCCGCGCTTCTCGCGTGTAATACCTGTATATACAGGGTGAGTGTCCCGCAAGTGGTATAAATCGTATTCCTATACTTTGTATTGCAAGTAGAGAAAAAAAAAAAAAAATTGATAAAGGGAAATGCTGAACGATTCAACCATCGTTTACTCTATATAATATGTTCGAATGTTCTTACGAGTAGCTTTTCTTAAATAATAAGTTTAAAAAGAATAAAATAATACCAAGTTGATTTTTCAAACAGTCTTACCCTAATACTTTTGTAAGCAGAGTGCGAAGTAAACTGACCCGCCTAAAGAAATACGTACAGTCCTGATTTAAAAATAAAAAATAAAAACTGAAATAGAAATGAATGAATGTTTCTCAAAAATTCGATCGTGAAAAAATATAAATCATTCAACTTCATCGTCCCCGCGTTTCTTTGCTGGCAATCCACAAAGAGGCACGATTTATATATCCCATCCGCGGTGACTTATTCTGTATACTCGTGTACGATTTCTTCTACCTTACGGTTACTCTAGGAACCTCTTGTTCCACGGTTCTTCGTCAAAGTTCTTTCGAGTTTAGATCGATAACAGGGTGAGAGTAAAACGAGAATACTAGTCTGTACTGAAATTACTTAAGAGCCTCACGAGTCCGTATCTCTGGCGAGATTTTGGTGCTGGCACGGTTTCAGAGATCGGTGTCGTACCAGGCTGCAACCTGGTTGTTATCTTGCGGCGGTGCAGGAAGCTCCTCCAAATGATCGAAACTCAGGTCACCCTCGTGCGCTACGTCCATAGTGTCCATCGCGCCATATGTCGACCCTCCACCTATTTCCAACCCTTGCATCGAATCTACTGGTATCTGGTCATAACCTGTTTCGTAGAAAATTTACGATCAACCAAACGTGTTCCCTTACAAATAAAATGGAGCTACTACGTTTAATCGACAAGAGCTACACTGCCAAAAAATTCCTCTAACATCTTCTTAATCAATAGAGCACAACTTTGCAAAGTGTTTGGCGATACGTTTCCTTGTCGAGAAATAACTGTTCGTTCGACGAAAGAAAAACAAATTAGATGTAATTAAAAATCACATAAGTTTGACGAAAAAATAAGTGAAACTGAACGATTTCGAATCGAATAGTAACATCAAAAAGCAAATGCTCTTCGCGGTATTATATTCTTGATGCATTCGAGAAAACATCTTATCTAATTACTTACGAATACTTGTCTATGCTTCTTTCCACCATAAAGTACGTTCAATTAGAAAAAAGGTGATAAATATACAGATACACCATGCATGAAGTTTCACGATTAATAAGTTACAAAAAAAAAATAAAGGAATACAGAAAATGAAAAATATAAAACGCTATGTGCTTTCGCTATGCTTCGGAGAAAATGCAATCATAAAACGTGCATTACGTATGATATATGTAACATATTCATTAATTACGTGTATTGTGTCGAGAATAAAAAGCGTGTAAATAGAGACATTTAGCGATAAAGCAGAGAACAGTACATAAGAGCTGTGTGTCACCTATGTTACTGCGAGATACTGTTGATAGCCTGTATTTTAATACAAGTCCCTGGGTTAAGCTGCTGTTAAAATAACATAGAATTAAATGCGTTGCTTTCTTGTTACGAATGAATATTAAGAGACAAATGGGTTACACAAAGTTTTTTAATTACGTAGACCACGTGTACCAATAGAGGAAAACAAGATACGAACACATAAATCCGCATTACCATACCAATTGGCTCTCGATGCATAAACGGAGGAGTGTTCATTTCGAAAATGAGATTCTCGATACATGTTTTTTTTTAAATCAAGAGTTTCCGAAATATCCCGCGCAAAAAGATACTTGACGAATCCATCTACGTAGGATCGAGCGTTATCGATCGTTCGAAAGCAATATAGTCGGATAAAAAGGATAAAGCTTAAAACTTACCTTGTGGCTGATACCCTCGACCTCCGTGGCTGCTGTGTACGCTAGGGGGTCCTTGTCCATACATACCATCATAGCCTTGATCAGGGCCAAGCATGTCCTGAAGAGATTAGGTAGCTCAGATCAACACAAAACGTATCTTCTTTCGCAGGCATGTCTTTAACAGCCGGCGACAATATACGCCGAGATACTTGTCACAGTATCGTATAGATAACACGCGAGGTAAAACGTTGTTTATGAGCCTATTATTATATTATAGTGTGCGACACGTTTTTAGCATCTATAGGGTTCGAAAGTAATATCGCGTTCATATTTGTCTTGTTTGTTAATCTATTGGGGATGAAACACGAATAGTGATGAAACGCATTCACATGCATATATGTATGTAACGTAGCAAACTAAGGATCATAATAAAGTAATCGCTGTACATTTATTACAGGTTCCATTGCTCCATTAGGCACGACCTTGCAGCCTGCTCAGATCTCACCAATCGTTCGAAATCTAACTCGAAATTATTTATTACCCGACTTTGAAGTTACTTTTTTTTTTTAAATTGATTCGATTTGCGCGATTATCCGTGTGTTTCGAAAAATCAGAATCGAACGTACCTAAGTTGTGCGAACTGGAATAATGGATAACGACATTCACTTTTGCAACTATCTAATTATACATGTCTAAACTTACATGGAGGGGAAGATTACCTGTTACCATGTAATCGAATAAAATTGTCATATCGCTAGTATGTTTTCGTGGCTTAATTTACCGAACACGATGTAACTAGACGTCCAAGGAACGGCAAAGTTTATGCTTTTCGATCATACAGAATTTTTTCTGTATTTATTTAATTACAAACCTGACATTCGAAAGCTAGCATGGAATAATAAATGATACGAGGGTGATTTTGCAAAAAAAAATGTGCTATGTTACAAAGTGTTTGTAAAGGAATAAATTTAGCCACGACATAAGCGAAGCATGCATCGAGACAACGAATTACAGTACCTGTAGATCTGGACCCATTCCGAAGTCAGCGTTATTCCAGAGGTTCGTGTCCTCGCGTAACAACGAGTTCGTCAGCTCCATGGACAGCCGTTTCTTGTATTCCTGTGGCTTATCTTCGCTCATACGGAATAACACGGCTGCCGCGTAAGTGGCAACTCCTTCGTTTCTAGAATGAAGGAGCTCCGTTAAAGGAGCAGTAGCACCCTCCTGTTCGATCATCTCAGCACCCTCCTTATCAGCGGCTAGTTCACAAAGTACTCCAGCTGCTACGCGTTGAATGTTCTCGATTTCGTTAAACAACAACTGTAAAGAGCAAAATAAATATATGTTAACAGCAAAGTGAACATTAAATCGACACATCCCATCGGATTTACGAACCTGTACGAAAACTGGAATCACGTTTTGAGATCTGATGATGACCCTATTGTGCGATTCTCTCGCGAGAATATGAAGCGCACCCACCGTGCCTTCCACTATTTCCTCCATTCGAATTCCGCCATCCGTTTGTTGACTTCCGGTACTCGCCACGGACGATCGTTGCTGCTAAATAAGAACCGATCGATCGTTTTAGAATCGAAAATACGTGTAACAGGTGTATTTTTTTTTCTTTTTCATTGATGCTGACTCACCCGTTGCGTGTCGGGGAAAGCACGCATCAAGAGCCTAACCAGATGATGAATCGCGCCATGATCGCGAAGTGGGCCGTGATTTGCAGGGCAAAGAGCCAAGTTGCGAATTAATCCTATAACCGCTTTAACGAGTGGCCAACGCGAAGGTGGGTGAAGAAGTTTCACTATGACCTGAATTCCATAATTTAGGCGGACTGAATTTTGTGCCATTTCTGCTTCCGCGTGACGCGACGTCAAATGACGAAGCGCGCACACCGCCGGTTCGCTGATTTCTTCCCGACTATCCGCATAAATGATGGTACGCACAAGGGCGTCGACACCTCCCACCTGACATACCGTTACTTTGTTGCGTTGATTGTTGCAAGTGAGATTTGATAAGATACCAGCGGCACACGTGACGACGTTCACGTCGGTAGAACTGAGAACTTGTACGAGACTTTGTAACAGTCCTTCCAATCCGTCAACCTTGGTGCCAGCATCCGATAAATTTCTTAACGTCCATAAACAATTCTGGACGAGTCTCTGACTCGGATTACCGAGGTGCATCGCGAGCGCTTGCATACCACCAGCTTCAACTATTACCGGTTTATTGCTAGCACAAACGGACAACACTTTCAAGACCCTTGACGTCGTCCACAGAAGCTTCTCGTAATCGTACGAACGCATAATACGTACTAGCTCTATTGGTCCTTGAGAAGCTAATATTATTAACTTGCTCTCCTGGTTACCGAATGCAAGAATTTGTAAACAATCCGTTACTATGGCTAGAAATTTTACGTTATTTCGTTGAAGTAGAGCAACCATTTTTTGTAAACCCCCGGCAAGACGAACATCCATTTTGGATCCATCCTGATATAATAATAAATTATGGAGAGTCGTTATGGCGTAAAATAGGACAGATTCCATCGGGGAGCTTAAGAGCTTTACGAGAGCCGGTATGCCACTGCTCTTGAAAATAGCCAACAAGCCTTGCCTGTGATGAGATAAATTATGCAACGTGCCAACCGCGGCTTTCGTTGATTCCAAATCGTCACTATTCGAAATGGCACGTACTAATGCAGCTACCATTTGAGAACTATTCATGATAGCATGACGCGATGCTTCTTTCTTTGAAAGTTGATGGACGACCATCGCCGCTTTAGACACAACAACTTGGTCCTCGTCGTTTAACAACTTAATTAATTCTGGTATTGCACGTGTCGCTAGATCTGCGTCATCTTGATAGTTTATCAAGTTGACAACAGCATGTTTTAACATTTGACTTGGCTCTGCCAATCTCTGTACAGCCGTAGGTTGTGCAGGATCAAATTGAGTAGAAGGAATTTCTATACCTTCTTCCAGTGTTTCTGGAAACATGGCTGCACGAACGCGCTGAGATCTGGTATGATTTAATTGTTGATTCATTTCGTCAACCTGATCCTGTGTAAAACCCTGAGCAAATCCCTGATCCAAATCGAACATCAACTGGTCTCCTTCCATCTCGTCATCTTCCTTGCCAGACAAGGATGGTGCCTGAGTAACGACACCAGAATGAATTCCTGAATCACCCATGTATGAATTTTGTTGCCACATTAGAGTTTGTTCTTTGGCAGATCCCATGGGCATGTCACCCAAACCTTGATAATTTCCATGAGACACTACAACATTAATAACACAAAGTAATATAAACCTGCAGGCAACTGTTTCGTTGTTTCCTATAAGGCTACTTACTTGGTCTGGATTGATTCGAAGACATTTGGTAACTCATGGCTCCTACGGGAGAATCTATCCACACCTAAGATAAAAGAATAATTCATGAACAGTCATATTTATAAACAACGTTTAAAAGTCTCTCAAAGAATAAGAAAAACATATGTTCAACTTGTTTAAATATATAAAAAAAAATATCTGAATCTTAAAACATTGATGTTTCAATCGCGTTCGGTATCGACGTAAATGCATGGAAAGACATTGAAAAGTATGGTACGAACTGAAATGCACGTCGGTCAATTGTCGCAAAAGGGAACGGCGAGAAAAAAAATTTCTTCGATCGTATCGTTAAAAAAGTTTCGAAGACGCCACGACGCGCGTAGGGTCAGTGCACTGTGTATCGCGAAGAATGGAAGGAGGATGCAACCGCACGGAATATGGGCACGATCGAAAGATTCCTCTAAACGTTCTTGCAGCTTCCACTTTTATCTTCGAACACGAGCCGAGGACGCGTTGATTCGACTAAATACGACAGGAAATGGCATTTAGAGGCACACACGAGGCAAGAACGATGCTCGATTTCCGAAGGTAAAGGGACGCGCGTGGGCGTGCGGCACAACAAAGGCTCTGAGAATGCAGTGCATCACCATTTTCCGAGGATCCACGAACAGCGGTGAGCGGAGAGCGGGGAGCGGCAGGGAAGCGAAAACGAAAAGAAGGGACGAGAGAACTGACAAGTACGATATCCATTAATGGAAGAGAGAAAGGGAACGAGAAAAGAAGAGAGAAGAAACACTTTGACACACCCAGCGTAAACACCGCCGTCACGGAAATGACAATTTTTTTTTCCCTATCGGTCGATGTAATGGCGAATGATAAAATTCTATTTCGCTTACCGTATCGCAAGGATCGACCGAAGGCGATTTCGTGAATCGTGCTTCGAAGACACGAATGACTCACTACCTCACGCTCGATCCACTAAATTCCCTTTTATCTTCGACGCTCGATCCACCTATCGCTTCTCCGCACAGAACACTTGGCCTTTCCTGCCTCGAACCCGTCAACTAAAGATGGCGGAAAACGACGCGGAACCTTCGATTCTACCGCCACCTGTCGTCCGCACTGATTCGAGTCTGCAGTGGCGCTAGCTGTGCCCACGACGCAACCTCGATTAGTTGGATATTCCTCTAGGAAGTACAATATTTATCGATTTTCACCCCTTGTGACTACTTGATCCTGTCCAACGAAAACTTATTCCATTTCCAAAGATTCCGTAAGTAACGTACCCTTTTCCATTTTCCTACTTTTTTCTTTTTTAATTAAAACGTATCGTTTGAAAATGTTACCCTTTCGTAGCACATGTTTTACATACTGATTTTAAGGTTACGCGTATCGAATTATGTAGGAACCAATTATTATAAACTATTTTAAATTTAACACTTAATCGTTTCGAAATTAGAATGAATTAATTTGCCATTAGCACGATATCGCAAGTACGAACATAATAAATGTTCTAACAGAAGTTAATCCTTTTTACTAATTTTGACAAAATGAACAAACTCAAATGATCCGATGATATGTCAAAAGAAAATATGCTAGATGGTAAAACTAGGAATGCTGCCAATAATGTCCCAATATCTCTCATGTACGGAGACTGAAGGATAATATCGTGCAGTCGAGGAGATCAATTTCAATTAAAAGACAATTCTCCAGGGCATGGCAATTTTTTAATGGATTCGTGGGTATTTGTCCATCCACGGTAGTCGAGAATTTCTGATCGAGTTCGGGAGTAAATCGTGCAACTGGACAGCTAGAATGCGCACAAAATAACAGACACTGGAGTCCAAAGTAAAATATACTGGCCGTTTGGCGGGAACACCATTCGTTATCGGCTGCGCCCACGCCGATTAATTTTCGGATGCGTGATGGCGGTACCGTTCCTTCCGTTCCGTACAGTGATGATACATTTTATGTCAACGCTGATATTGAACGGATAATCGGAAAAAAGGAAAACGCGTTTTGAAATACATCATCGTGCCGATATTGAAATATCGGTGCGAAGTTTCCTGGTATAAATTTATATCCGTTTTTTTTTAATTGATAACGAGTAATGGCTACATTTTGCATAATTTGAAAAGGCGACAACGAAGCGATTCTTTGTCGCTTAATGTCACCGGTGGATAAAATTTAGGTTGATTTAATGAATTTGAAATGTGACATGTTTTCGTTCACCATCGTTCAGTATTAAAATAAGTGTTGAGTGCAGTGTAATATTAAATTAAGTGTTAAGTGTAGTGTAGTATTAAGTGAAGTGTTGAGTGTTACAGTAACAAAAGCTATAGCACACTCAAAATTTTGTGCGAACCTTCTTCAACAATACAGTAACCAAAAAGTACCTCATAAAAGAGAAGAAACAAGTCTGTTTCGATTGATGAAATGATCATTTTTATTTCCTGAAAGCCTTGGATCGAAACGTATCAAACAGACGAATACTTTAACGATGATTCATCGTTGGTAAAGAATACAAGCTTTTTTCACGAACCATTTATTTATTCGCGTAAGAGTCGGCTGCGACGTATTCTCGTAGGTTTCATTTATTTACGAGCCTAAGAGGGGATCGCGTAGCCCACGCTTCGCTATATCGAGGATACTGCCCTCCTTGAGTAAAAACGAGCGTTTCGTATTCTCGAGTGAAAACGATCGAGAATCGACGATCGACGAGATGAACTAGCCTGGTTTAAAAAAGCAGAGAAGAAAAGAAAAAACAAGAATGAGAGAAGGGCAGAGAGAGAGAGAGTTTCGTTCGCGTGCTCTCTCGGTTCCTAAAATTTCGCAAAAATTGCCGAAAAAAGTACGGCACCGTCTTGAAGGCGGACCAGGTAGAGCATAGAGGGTGACAGATGCCCGTTCAACGGTGTGTCTCCCCACCTACGCGGCATGCTGCTGACACGAGCGTTTATGTCTGCATAAATTCTCATTTGAGCCCCGATAATAAAGTAAGCACACGAGGGGGACGGACACACGTTGCCCGGTTCGGCGAGCACAGGCTGATACATAGATCACCGTTGAACGCGGGGCAAGAAAAGGGGGAAGAGTCGGGGCAGGGTTGCTCGACGGGACCAGGGGGGAGTAGAAACTCGGGGGCTGAGAGGTTCGCAGGGGTGGAGGGAGGAACGATGGCTAGGCATATATTTATGCGTATCTATATAAGGTACACACGGGCACGTTGCCTTTCGAACGAGTCGCTACACAAAGCTGTGGATGCACGCACGTACACAAGATTCTCGAGATGTAGCGTGCTTAATTATATGCATTCTCAGAATCTGCGCTGCTCTCCTCCGCTTAATGCCCGTGTATTCTGCAATGCTCCGTGTTTACGCGGTGAGCGAGAGGAGAGTCACCGAGGCTCGTATACCGCCCCATCCTGGGACACCAGGAACGCACAGGATTTCTTCTTTCTTCCCTTCTTCCTTCGATTATTATTAGCGTTTCTGACGCGAACCGATCTTATCGTTAGATATCGATTCGTCGTGACGTTACGACACTAAAGTTTACTACAAGCACGAGGATAATCGAGGTATCCGGGCAGCGAAAAGGTGGAAATGACCATTCTTGTCCCGAGGGAAGGAAACGAGTCATCCGGAGAAGTTTCGCAGACACAGTCGTATCGTTTGGCTGGCGCGCAGTTGATGGAGTAGCCTCGTGGCTAATGTCGAGCGAGGGTGGTGACTACGTTCTCGTCGTCGAGGACGACGAACGATATCCGATTCATCATCTGGACCAACTAAAGGGACTCGACGCTAACTCCCAAGACGCAAACGAATCAAGAGAGTCGAGAATCACAACCGAGGATCGATAACGGTTGGCATGTTTCAGCAAAGTCTGACGATCGAACGATCGGGACAAAAATAAATCCATTAACGCACGAAGATGCGATCGTGGTCGAAGAACGAACGATCGAAGACGATTGAACGCGTTCCCCGTAGATATCAATGGTGTTGGTCATTCGTACCGGTCCAACAGATCCGACAGGGGAGCGCGAGCCGCGAGGCTAATAGCAAAGAGTGGTAAAGTGTCTGAGAGTGTGGATCAGCGAGGGAGGGTAGTGGTTGTACCGTGGTGTACCGGGGCAACTCGTCGAGATGGTATCCGGGGCGTGCCTCGTGTACCGCGGCGTCGTCGAATCGAAACCCTTGGCGAAGGTCATCGAGATCAGCGTACTCGGCACGTCGATCAGACGATTTTGTGCGGCACACCTGCGCTTGGGCTTATCCGGTCTGTGCGGAGCGGCTCCTCGCGCGCACAGCATGTGGGTGCGGGCTGACAGCTCCTATCGGAATGGCTCGGATAGGTTATTGGAGGTCCTCAAATGGTATCGAACAAGGTTCTGCTGGGGCGGGCGAGAGGGGTGATAAGAGGGAGCGGTTTCTCTAAGTATCGCGAAAGCCACGCATACAATTCGCTTGTACGCACACGCGGCCGGCCGGACGTGCAGCACACGTACCACCGGCTAAGCGTCGAAACGCAAGTGTGCGCGTTTCTACTAGCACGATCCGAGATCCGAGAATGTCTCGAACGTACGTCGATTTCAGTACCCGCGACTCTCCTCGGCCCGTTGCAAATGTGTGCGTAAGTCGAATGCACGCGCGTCTGTACGAGTTCGAGATTGGCCGGTCTACTCGATGCCGAGGGAAAAGATACTGCGGGACGTGGCCATCACTGATGAGCCAACCCACACCGTGCGACAGCGACAAACAGGACAGCACCGGGACAGGACAGGACCGTCTCGCTCGGTATCAGGACTGTAAATCCAGGATTTTATTCGCCCGGTATCGAGGTTTATAGTGTCCTCAGTGGTACGAACCTGTGTGAGTCGTTCGCTTGCGTACGTGTGCCTGAGTTATGTTCAACCGTCTCGCGGCAAGACGTTTGCATATCTTCGCTCCTTCGCTCTCTTATACGGACCAACGTCTTCGAGGGAGACGAGTCGAACCACGAGAACGAACAGGACGAAAAGCAAGAGGTGGAAGAGGTTGAAGAAGAAGAAGAAGAAGAGGAGGAGGAGACCAGAAGAGGACGATTCACCGCCATCCTCCCCTCGAAGAAGAACTCCGTTTACCTCGGTTCGTCATCCTCTGCCTCTGTCCGCGAAACGAGACCTTCCTGAAAAACGCGCGGTTTATCTTGGCCTCTGGTATCCCCCGTATACACTGGGTATTAACCGGCTGTCCGGCGAATCGAATTTATCGGACGGCCTGGCTTTATCGAACGCCCCCACTTAACGTCCCGCTTAATTAGACACCGGCCGACCGGTGTGCTTAATGACGAAGGAGTCCCGATGACGCCAGGACGAGCGCTTCTACTGCCATTCGATCCTCTTTGACGCCCTATCGCCAACTCCGCGCCAGCTACGCTCTTTCTATCCTTCTCTACCGCCAATTCACTCGGAATCGGACCACCGAGTCCGAATCCTTCGAAAAACCTTTGCAAATTTTGCCGCCACTTTGGGTACGTGTCCTTTTCCTTTTCCTTCTTTCAACTTTTTTGCAATGCCTGGCGTTCTTCCACTCCGTACAACTACATCGTGATTGCAGTTGCCGCGATGACGAGAAAGAGAAAGA